GTTTACGATGTAGAAGAAGCTTTGACCTTGGATTTATAGTAGGAGTATGTGTCTTTCAGGAGGTGGAATATACAATTGTCCATTTCATCTAATACAGAAGAATATAAAGAATAATATAATAAATGTCTATTAAGGTTATCAATCTGAAGTTATCTCAACCACTCCAAGTAAGACTAATATTTAAACTAATTTTACCTCTTCAGATGTGGATAACAGCATGCACAGTTGGCTGGGACCCCAAACTGTAATAAAAGCTGGGGATTTCCGACCAGTTTGTTTTCATAAATCACTGCAGGCTCTTGGTATGAATGATATGCTGGTGTGAGCTAATGTAGTCAATGACAGCCATACCCACAGTTCTCAAATGAGTTGTAAATTACAGATTCTAATTTGTACCAGATGAATTTACGAGAACCTTTTATTAACACTGAAATATGGAGTGATTGGTTCCATATGATATAGGCAGGTATACTGTCTTCACTTTTGCTTGGGTTGAAAGTTGAACAACACCAAACAAAGAAAAATAAAACCCAAAAAACAAAACAAGTGATCTATTCCATTCTAAATCAAGTAGCACCAACAACATACAAGGAGCAGCTCTTGGAAAGTCCAACGACCAAAGTAAAAGACAATGTGAAGTGAAAGCAGCAGGATACAGGATTTGATTTGACCATTTGATAAAAAGCCTAACCTTGCACATGTTTTCACAGTACAGTATAAACATACTGATTACTGAATGCTCATATCTTAGCCATCCATCCATCCATCCATTTTCTTCCCCTTAATCCATTTCTGGGTCGGGGGAGTGGCCAGAGATGCCACCCAGTACACAGAGCACCAGCCATGGAGCAGAACCATCTGTATGTAATTTACCCCTTGTGTGGTGTTCGGGTCTGTGGGACCCGTTTTCATTTTTTAGTAAAAGAAAAATGATACAATTAATTAATTTTTCAAACTGAGACTCACTGGCTTTGGCTCAATTTCTGTGAAGAACATACATCAGAATACATTTTTAATGACCACACACCGTACACCCCTCCTACACATTTCTATTACATAGAAGATGTTCGGGGTCCACTGGACCCGGGGCAAATAGAAGTGTGGAAATTGACCTGGCTCCAAACAGCTAACAACTGGTATCCTATGTGCCAAAGAAAGGCAAGAATGTGGTACTCATGAGTACACTGACAAGTACATCACAAACCAGAAATCATCATGGATTATAATGCCACAAAAGGAGGGGTAGACAACATGGACAAGTATTAACCATATATATTGTTTATACTGCTTGTAATTGGGATAAGGTAAACATCTGTTCAGCATTTCAACAATAATGTGTGATTGTGATGCATTAAAAGCCACACAATGCAACGGTTCCATCAGACCCACGAACACTGGCTGAGTAACAACAATATGAACACACAAGGGTTAATCTCCTCTGAGCTCTAGAGTGCATTGGTCACCAAACAGCATCAATAAGTCCAAGGAGAGTGGTTATCAATCTTGCTTTTCAGGAAGAAGGTCCTGGGTTTTAATTATCTTTTCGCTCCATCTCCCCTACCACTAAAACATGTAGAATATACAATCCTCCAGCTCCAGTAGTCCTGATCAAGTCGAGCATCATCATCTGGAGATGGGTCTCTGGGTGCTGCACTACGGCGACAATATATAGTTTCAAATGTTAGTACTGCTCATAAATCAAGACATCTTCAAAGTTCCAGATACTTGCACAAAGCAAAGCTTTTCTTCACCCTACGTAGGGTGTTTTTAACTTTATGTGATAATGACTGAACTTCTGCAGTAATTTAGGTTACCTCTGTTGATCCCATCATCAAACTTAACCAAGAAGTACAGCATGACTATTTTAGTGGAGCTGAAGTTTGTTGGATGACACTGTGAAAGTGCCTCAATGGCTACTTTGCGTCATGACCACATTTGGCCCTCAGTTTGGACAACCATCCAGCAATTCTCTTCTGCTTTATCCATTGCTGGGTTGTGGGGGCAGCAGTCTACGCAGAGATGCCCAGACCTCCCTATCCACATAGATTTCCTCCAGCTCAACAGAGGGAATCCTGAGGCGTTCCAAGTCCCTCCAACCACTTTCTGGGTCTGAGAACATGCCTGCTACAATGTATGTTATTGTTATCCTGGTGGTGGATATTGTGTGTAATCTTGCGGCATTTACAATAAATTTGTCACAAGGCTATGTGTGTTACATTAGCTTTAACAGAGTTTAAAGCTGGTGTGTTGCATAATTTGAGAGTCAAAATAATGAGTATCAAAATTGTGTTCACAGAATGTATTTATTGTACATCATTTGAACATGATGTCATGTTATCAAGACTATTTTTTGGAATATATATAGATTTTTCAATCAATCATTTTGTGAACAATGTCAGAGTTTAGCGCTCTAAAAAATAAACTGATGGGCTGATGACTCATCCCATGCTGGACTGTGTGGTACATCTGTCTAAACCATAAAAGTCATCAAAAAGTTCCCAAACTTGTCCGATAAAATACCACTTGACTGAGATTTTCTAAGTAAATATTCTGACTTTCTACAACAAAAACAATTAAAGAGAAAGAAAAAAATAGAGCACAAATTAAACAATTTGGGATTCAAAATGATAACAGGAAAATGCTAAAACTGTCAAAATAATGACAGTTTATATTAATTGACACATAAAATAAAATACATAATGGAAATGGAATAGGAAAATGGTCCTCAAAATGTTTCTACTCTAAATAGTGTAACCAGCTTCCCAAAAGGGTCACACTTGCTGGTCTGGTTCACATGGGTTAAAATGTTTCACAAATGTGTTTCAAAAGACTTGACAAAACCTCTTGGCTCTACCCCGGTTGGGAGCGTTTCCACCGGCCCTGTTTAACCGGTACAAGGTCCTTTTTTAGCATCTGCTTGACCCTGGTTCTATGAAGGCTGAGCTGGTACTAAAGGGCTCTGAGATTGATTGGCCAGTTAGTGCTGCTGGAAGCCATGGTTACCAGGGAATTTCCAGATAGTGGTTTTTTGTAGGTAAGTTGCTAGGATACGGTACCTGATATTCAAGTGTAACAGAAACACAACCAGGTAGAGTGGAGCAGAGTAGAGTGACCCATCAAGTAAAGCTGGTAGAAACCAAGCTTTGGTTAACCATTACTTATTTCAATAACCATCATTTTTATGTCTAAGCCAGATCAAACACCAACATTTTATTCACTTAAATTTATTTATATATTTATATTTTATTTTATATTTATTTATATACCGCCTTTTCACTGCAGATCTGAGTCTCAAAGCGGTTTACAATTGTTAATTTTGGGCATTAGTCTCTCACTCCACACAGAGATGGGAGCGGGGCCAGTACAGGAGGCACATGCCAGAACTATTGGACATATTTTTAGTGGTAGGGGAAACCGGAGTACCCGGAGGAAACCTACGCAGACACGGGGAGAACATGCAAACTCCACTCAGAAAGGCCCTGGTCCGACCGGGATTCGAACCCAGGACCTTCTTGCTGAGAGGCGAGAGTGCTATCCACTCAGCCACCGTGCCGCCCTCTTATAAATTTAGAGTCGCTTTGGTCAGGTACGTGATCATATTTAGAGTATTTATATCCCACGCTGCCTTATTTGTTGTCTAAACAATCGACAGGACATTTGTTTAGTCGACCAAGAATTCTACAGTCAAAGTAGTTTTACACAAATAAAGATGTTTTCCCCAAGTGAACCAGTCAAACCAGTGTGAACGTGCCATTATAAGTCAAAGTTTTTTGGTGGCTTTTTGGGGCTAAAGTCAAACCAGTTGACATTTGCAAACAATTCTGAAGGCTACAGATGTATCTAAATAACTTATTAATGAACCATTCAAACATGTATAACCAAGGACAACTTTTCTTTATCCAGGCACATATTTCAATCAATATCATCAACTGGGGGAAAGACGTATGCAACGCAATGTAAATATTGAAAGGCAAAAACTCTTTCAGTCACTTTCATCTTTACAGCACTCTGGATTTTACATTTTCAAAAAAAATATAGACTATAAAATTGATTGGTTTGAATGGTTTGAATCAGTTGATCATTACAATTTTCCCAAGGCCTAGAAATTGAAGGTAACATTTCCAATACTTTCCCCAGATCTTTCTAAAGTAATGACACTAAATGGAGAAGTAGGACTCTAGAAAGGAAAGGAGACATAATAGTCGTCATGAGGTCTTACGTTTGTTTGATGTTCGCTGCCAACCTTCAAGCACATATTATACCAATCCAACAGAAATGTGCTGAACACGTCTTTTAAATGTGTTTGCTGTCATTTTCGGAAAATTGCCCACACATTACTAGATAGAAAAACAGATTTTGCTTATGACTGACTTGAAAGGAGGACGCAGCAATTATACCTGATTACAATGCCCGGAATGACGTTTTAAAGAGAGGAAATCAGGAAAAATATCTTTAATCATAAATAAAGGAAATATTCTCATTTTTTTAACCATAGAGAACATGGCCGTCTTCCAACACATAAGAAACTACAGCCACATCACAGCCACATCAAGAGCACAGCAGATTGGTTCACAGCAAAATGAATAAGTGCTTGAAGTTGATTTGAGTATATCTTGGCTGTCTTAAAATATATTATTTTAATGGATTAATTTACCCACTGAAAAATACTGGTGTTATTGAAAATTTTTCATTGTCAAATTTGTTTAAAGAGCACTTTTTTGTGTGCATAATTTCAAATCTTATGCAGAAAGCCAGAAAATGACAGTCTGAAGATTTGTCTCAGAATAAGACTGAGAGGCACTAATACCAGAAGTTTTTGATATTAGCGTGAACTGAGATAAAACCTCACCAGGAATGTTACTGTTGAGGGGACGTGGATAACACACACAAAAAACTATTTTGCATAACAAGTCTTCTTTAAGACAAGAGAAATGTACTCAAATCAAGATGAATACTGCTAAGGAACTAGTTCATAGATTTATTGTCATGTGTGGTCACAGTCACTCGCACTCGTTCTCTTTCAGCACGTCGTACATGTTGATGGTGAAGCCTGATGGTTGTTCAGTGTCTCTCTTTGGTGGCCTCTTGAAGCCCTCGTCATCCTCGTCATCATCATCGTCGTCTGCATCGCGGTCCCTCTCTTCCTCCTCGCCCTCGCTGCTTGACTCCCCCTCCTCATCAGACGCCTCCGCCATGTTGGTCCTGCCCTGAAGCGCCATGATCTCTGGCAAATCTGGGTGGTTCTCCCAACGTTCTGTGCACAATCAATTTGCATCACGCTGTGGGTCTATTCATTTCAATGAGCGAAGTATGGGCTTGAAATGTATCGTATATGAATGTTTTGTACAAGACACAAGGAAATAGGAGACACTGCAGGATTTGAGATGCTCAATAAAAAAACTGACATTGCTACAAACAATGCAATCAAATATAACTATAATAATTAGAAAAGTATCCCTGTGTTCCTCAGGCTCAGGTTTTAGGTGGACCATGATATAAATATGTAAAGTTACCTCTGAGGCAGCTGTACCCTGGAGGTCTTAGGCAGAGACACAGTCGTCCATCGATGGCGAGCCTCAACAGACTGTTTGCTGCTCGGTACGCATCGTTACGTGCTGCCTTTGCAGTCTTATAACCTCTTCTCTCTGCCCAGGCTGAAAGAAGCAATTTTAAAAAAATACAATATTTTGGGTGTAATACAACCAATGTTAAATATATATATAAATACAGAGTTCAAGTCATCATAAAGGGAATTTAAAGAACATTTTTAAATGGATACGGAGTCAAATTCAATGTATTTCTGTATAGCCCTCACAACAGCAGTTCTCTTGTTTAAGAGCTGAGCTCTGAAACAAAATCCCATCAACCTCAAACCTTTATGACAATTAGCGCATTAGAAACAAAATAATCCGACGGAATAAACATGAGGCCTTTCACACCGACAAAAAACCCAAATCCAATAAAACAGCCAAAGTAGAACAAGGAAAACTATGGAAGGAGCTGGTACTGGTTCTAGACACGCCTGTGGATCACCATAGTAAATTTTTATCGTGACCTTTAAGCTCTCGAGTATTTAAGCTTAGCGAGTTGTTTGGACTTTTAAAATAAGTTTTATCTTTGCCAGTAGTTAGGTTGGCGCAAATAAACTTTTTCTCAAAGTAGAGAGAACCTGTGTAAATCTGTGTAAACGCAACCAGTAGAAACAACAGCATGATTAGAACAGTGTGCTGAGACCCACCCTCACACACGTCCCAGGCCGTCCACTTGGGCTCCTGTGACAGCGGCTCATTGTCCGATAGAGACGGGTGCTTGAGCTTCAACACGGACAGAAAAGGAGTCCTTTCGCAGAGATATCCCACTGAACTGTACGGCTCCTGCAGCTGAGACACCGGGTAAATTCCTGCAAGAATCTAGAACAGAAATGTACAGGATGAAGTTAACACCACACCGATACTTATTTAAGGGTACACAAATAGCATTCTGAGATCAATAATCCATTTTCTCTGACGGGAGTGGTTCTTTTTTGCAGAATAAATTGGTTTCTATAGTATGTATGAAAGCTGTGCAGAAAATGAACATATTTCATTTGCACTGTCTTTTAATAGGGAACAAGTTAGGCAGGTATAAAAAAGATTTTGGAAGAGCTTTAGAATGTATGTAGGGTTGAAATTAACATTTAAGTTTGAGAGAAGAATAAAGGAGGAATAAATACTTTGCACAATAATCATGCACTTATGAACTAATATCACATTACACTTGAGAATAATGACCTCGGTAATCCAATTTATAGAGGGGAGAGACTTAAAATTACAAAGTATACATGTTTCTGCTGTCAAACGAATCGTGATTAATCGCATTAATGTGCAATTATTTGTGATTTTATCAATTCTAAATGTTCCTTGATTTGGTCGGTGACCTGGAGATAGTTGCGATGGACAGTATTCACCAGTGCGCGGAATAACATGTGCGGCGGCAGAGGCAGTGGACAGACACGATGTATTCGGCGAAAGCAAGAGATTAACTTTTTCCTCGGGAAGCATGTGCGGCACAGAGCCGCACGGAGCGGCCACGGGGACACAAGACCCTCAAACGGCTAAACCAGGAGCTAAACCAGGAATAAAAAACCAGGATTAAACCAGGACTAACAACGAGGGACACAGTGTGAACATATTCCTCCAGCCTCATCGCCCCGTGACTGTAAACAAGGCTGCTAAGGTTGGTTAGCCCACACGACAAATATATTTATTTAGGTTAAAAAAAAACCTCAATATATATTGTTATCGACCGATATGAATGACTTATATCGTGATATAGTTTTCAGCCATATCGCCCAGCCCTATGCACAATATATGCTCATGTGCTGTGCTCAAGGGGATACGTAGGTCACGGATACTCATATTAGTGCAGATGTTAATCACATTCAGGTAAGTTTTGATGAGGGAACAGTGCTGCAACAAGGTTCAAAGCTAAAAAGGATGCTTTTGGATCATGTGCACAAGTCTAGATACTTGGAAAGAACTACTTTGGAGAAGTTGATTTTAAGCTTTCCTTTGGATGACATTGATTTTGGGATCTGTAAAAAAAACAGTGCCATGTTTTTTTACCTGCAACTGTTTGTCCACACGAGAGGGGAAGACGAGGCCCGGGCAGTCGCAGAGTTTAACCGTGGGAGTGAGGTAGTACGTCTGGAAGTATTTGGTGTGGCCTGGAGTTCGGGAGACGCTCACCACTTTTCTTCCAACCAAACTGTTGATTACTGATGATTTACCAACATTCGGAAAACCTGATGCAAAACGAGACATTTTACATTACATTTGTTATTCTAATTCCCCCCAATGATCTAAAAACAAAACTAACAAAAATGGGTTGGACAAATTACACTGCTGCATGACAATGATGGACAAACCATTGCTTGTCCAGGAAATGAATGCAGGGTGTAACAAACGGGAAAGGAGGGGTGGATAAATAGTAATAATGCGCAGGTTCAGTATAACACAGCAAGATTTTGTGAAGGTAATTTTCATTTTACCCTCTCCACTTTTTAAAGAGAGACTGTAGAGACAATAAATATCTACAATAAATAAATACAATAAATAAATACCAACTGAGTTTTACTTTTCACATGCATTTGTATATATTTTATGATAATTGCTTATATACTTATTTTTAATCTTTCGAGCACTTTGGGCAGCTTTTGTTGTTGTATTGACAAATATTGAGGCGTAAAAAAGCCTAATATTGTTACCTATGCAGCCCAGTGTGAGGACTCCATCTTTGTACAGCTCTTGTGACAAACTGCTCATCTCCATGGCACTGTCGCTCTGGTGCTCCATCACGACAGAGCTCTCCCCGCCTCCATCCGCAAGCTCTGCAACCGCATCGCTCTTTATCTTCCGCTCCCAGCTCGAAAGGTCAACTACAAAGAGGACCAGAGGTTATAACGCACTATAATATGCAAAGAGCTCTAATATAAAAATGGTTTTGACGCACCCTTCCCTGCTGTGATGCCCTGACAGGCTTTGAGGATGTCCAGAGGGCCTCCCGCAACACTCCAGTGCACCTTCTTTCGCATCCTCTTCTTTTGCAGAACTGGGCAAAAAGAAAGAATAGCTGACGAGTTCAAACTCACGGTCGCTCAGGTCACATTGTTTGGCATTGTTAGTGGTGAAACATATTTTAAAAAAGAACCACTCCCAATGATGATTTCCCAATACTGATAAAAAATTCAAAAGAGGCTAAATTTGAACCTTTTACCATGTTTGCACACTTCCTGTCTTTTTGCACACCCTGAGTGATTGTGACATGTACATTTCTCCATTGTGAGATCAATAGTTTATCTTATCTTATTAGGCCCGAGCCCCGAACGGGGAAAATCAGACCTGGCGAAAAATTTGATATTTTGGTGTTTATTTTTATGGGACTCAAAAAATGCCAGAACAGCGCCACCTACAACAGCCAAAATAATACCCCTATGGGAGTTTTGGAGATCAAGTTTGTCGTAGAGCCATGAAATTCGGTACACATGTTCCTCAAGTCAAGACAAGAAAAATGTTTTTATTATGGCCCCGCCCTCTGACAAACAAGAAGTCAATGAATTTCACTGCAAAATGGAAAAATGAACAGCAATAGTTTTCATACATGTCGGTTGGAAATCTTCTCCTCCTCGGCCGTTTCACCGATTCGCTTCAAAATCGCTCCACATCATCTAGCAATAGAAGAATGACTAACATTCTTCTATTGCTACGGGAACAAATCATCACACGGCGGCGCCACCTCCTTTGCGCAATGCTGCGTGGTACGGTGTGGTGCGGCGAAGTGCGGGGCGTTGTGGAGCAGCACGTTGCAGCCTGGTGCGGGGCGGCGTGGTGCAGATCCGCTTGGTGCGGGGCAGCTTTGTGTGAAGCGGCGTGGCGCGGGGTGGTGTGCATGGTGCGGGATGGTGTGCGCGGTGCGGGGGAGTTCGCGGTGCGGGGAGTAGCGCGTGAGGTGAGGGCCGTTCGACGCCGCTTGCGGCTTTACTTTATTTTAAACCTGCACACATTTGTACCACTATATTGGGTCTGACTATCAAGCAATCTTTAATTATAGAGCACCTTGCATACAAAAAACTCATTCATTAAAACATTGAAAAACACCTAGATTAAAGTTCAAATACTGGTATAGTATACAGAAAGTATCCAGGACTAAGAATGTATAATGAAAAACATATAATTTCTAATTCAAATGGGACGATTATACATTACAATACAAAAAAGACAGTCTTCTATTGGCTCACTTGTGCTGTAGGGCTGCCCGGGGTGGGACGTGAAGCAGACAATCTCCATGTGAGGGAACTGTGATGTCAGGTAGTGTTTCCAGGCGATCACCAGTGGAGGAGGGCTCAGGTCCACTTTGTTCAGCACCAACACCACCTGTTTCTGCAGAGCTCCTGTGATGTAGTGGTACAAGTCTGGAGGAAGCTGCAGCACCTGAACAAAGGGATTGTGCAAAATTGAAGCTGGGATTTTTAACTTTTTGTTGTCCCAAGATTAACTTAAAAAAAAAAATAGACAAAAGAAATGAGGCCACATTGTGCTGATTGGAAAACAATTACTGCCTCAATCAGCTAATGCGTGTGATATAGAGCCCAGCGAGTCAGAAATATAGTATATGCATGTGAAAACTAGAAACAAAACTATTTTAAAAGCGAGCAATCGTATTTTCTGTGGTCACGGTTTTTTCTTGTAAATCCAATCTAAATTTGTTATTTTATATACCTCCTGAAACTTAATTTGTTGCCTACCATTTCTTCCTGATTTTCCAACAACTAACAACTTCAAGCTAACTACATTTATGAGGAGTAATATTTACTGGTATGTACATATCTGGCCTGTATGCACCTGTATGCTTTCAGGCAAAACATGACACTACTACACAACAGGGCTGCAAATAAGGAACAAACATGTCAGTCACTTTATTCAGTCTTATGCAGCCTCTGTCTCCATCTGCTGGACACAGTTTCTCATAGTTCACTCACTGGGTGCCTGATGTCCACAATGAGCAGGATGATGTCTGACATTTCTAATACTCTCCACAACTGTCTCCATGTCTGAAAAATAAACACAAGCAGTCAGTAAAATAAATGCAAAAATATAATGTTGAATCAAGATTTTGTCTGGAAAGAAGTGATTACACTGTAAGCCAGGGGTGCTCACACTTTTTCAGCATGCGATCTACTTATAAAAGGATCAAGTCAAAATGATCTACCTACTACAAAAATACAAATCATATATTTCAAAAAATATTCTTTATACCTACAATGTATGTTTATGTACATGCAAAACCGCATGAGCCAATATAGCACAACACAACACAATTACTATGGACATTTTTTGTCATTACCCGAGTTTACTCTTATGACTTGCACTGAATCGGCCAGGGATGCATAGTCCGGAAAATTGGTGGTAACTCGCTGACAAGTTTGTCGTGGTTTAGCTTTCCTGCACTGAGCGCGGTTGTTTGCGCATGTGCAGTCACCTGAGTGTCAGTAAAACATTACTGAGTAAAACGCAGATGTCATTTGACTGTGCTGCCATGTCCATGTGCCATGCCTGTTTTTTTTAAATCCAAATATTTCCCATCCTCCGTTTATAAAATAATTTGCATCCACACATCTGCGTTATCAATCACATTCGTAACATTCCAAACATGTGCGTCTCTTACGTCCTGTCCTGTGTTGGGGAAAAACACAGAAGTGGGCGGAGCTTTGATGCAGACGCCGGTAACGGCACTTTTACAGTCATAGAAGACACTCAGAGTAAAGAGTAAGACGTATGTTTACAAGCACTGACCCCGTCCTCAGCCCTGGTTTAGTCCTGGTTTAGTCCTGGTTTGGTTGTTTTCGAGCGTGAGTCCCCGCGATCACTTTGCTGCTCTCCGATGTGGAGCGAGGATGTTCGCTGCTGCGAGCATCTCACAGCGAACAGTTTTTAAGGTAGTATGATCCATGCTTCAGTGATCAAAGGAATTTAGGGGGGTACTGTGGCGTGCGAGAACGCAAAACTCCGGTTATCTCTGTCTACACACAAATGCATTAACGGAGTTTTCAAAAATCTCCACTTTGCCCGGAGTTTTTTGTATATATTCGTTTAGAATGTGTAATTTGTTATTTATTTAATGCGATCTACCAATACTACCTTTGCGATCAACTGGTAGATCGCGATCGACGTATTGAGCACCCCTGCTGTAAGCCAATGATGCAAAGCTGGTCAAATTATTTAGAAAAACACATATTTCATAATGTAAATTGCTATGGAAAGCCAATTGTGTAAAATGTATATTGTATAGAGGAATCAAAAATAGTCTGTTATTGCTTCATTTACCTCTAGGTTGTGTTCAAAGTGGCTCAGAGATCCAGGTGGGTTTCTGGACTGCAGGTCGTCCACATATTCCCTGTACGATTTCTCCTCTTTCCTGAGCAAACTCTCCCTCGTCATCTCGTAGTTCCAAGATGGCCGCCGAGGAAATGTAAGACCTGAACAATGAACAATAATCTCAAACTCTCAAGACAAGTTTACAATTATGTGATTATTGACAATTTGCATGAGGTTTTCTTTCTATCAAGAATATATATAAAAAAATAAAAAATAAATTCAAGATTGATAGAGGTACTTTGATCATGATTTGGAAGGCAATTTTCTGATACAATCATATTACTTTTGGATCAGTAAAACCATTTGTTTTGAGACGTGAAACCAGACCTTTTTCTGTTGGGTAGATGTCACAAATATCCGTCTCTAGATCTTTGTCTGTTACAGACTTCAGCTCGTTCTCCATCGCTGCCCTCTTCCTTTTCTCCACCTCCTCTTTACTCTCCTTCTCAAAGTGCAGACGAAATCTAATAACAAAACAGACATCATACATTAGGTGCTGAGCAGTAAGAGCGTTACTTTCTCAGTAATGGGATAATCTAATAACTTTCCCAATTGTTACAAAGGCGTAACAACGCCCTCAGTAATGCTGTTACTTATGCGGAGAAATGATTTAGAAGTATAACTAATAATGTTACCTATTGGGATCATGTCCGCCATCTCTGCCTCCTGGTTGTTGATTAATTCTCCTTATGTCGGTGGTCTCGCTGTCTGAAGTGTCTGATTGTCGGTCTCCTCTCTCCAGGCTGGCATTACGGCTGCTCGGCCCAGAGCCAGTCTCTCCTGGAGCACAAAAAAGTGTATTTAAGAAAAATAACTTATTGTTTGTTTTAAATTCATAATTAGTAACAGAATTCACGTTTGACATTCAAGACATTTTCATCATCATAGCTTTTGTCAATAAAAGTTGTTCCAAATAATAATAAAGTATAAAGCATTACACCCATCATTCAATGAAATGTAACTGTGTAAAACCAATTATTTTTGGTCAATGTGTACTATACAACAACAAGTTTCAATAAACAGATTTATAGTGTAAGAAATGTCTTTAAGTCTAATACAAAGTCACAAAGAAGACCTCGAAACATAGATTTCTCTTGTTCATGTTTCAAGAAAGGACTTTTTTTCACACGTAACAAATTCCTTGAACCTCTATTTGGGCTGTTTTGCAGTTTATCTATTTCAATGTTACATGTTTCATGGCCTAATCCTTGAAGAGCATTGAACCGTTTTACATGGTTCAACTTAAAAACTAACTAAAATAATCCTTATTCTTTCACAAAGAATTTCAGAATGAAGAGCCATGAATGAATGAATTATGGCCAATAACATATTTAAATATAGCTTACTATAAAAGGGGAAAGGTCCCTGAAATGTTGTAAGAATACTAAGAAGAACCATCCATAACTGGTAAGCAAATTTTCTTTTTCCTCCCAATAACTTCAAGTGGGGACATGCCCCAGCAGAGCACCCATGCAGCAGAGCATTCAGTCAACAACGCCTCACCACAAACAGCTGAGTTTACATTTACAAGGCTGTAGAATTAGAAGACAACATGACAGGATTTCTACAAAGAAGTGAACCAGGCTTTTGCAAACATGAGTGAATATTATGATTTTGGATTGTGGAAAGTTGTCAACATTAGAAGTTCAGATGTAAGTTGCAGAACTTGTCATGTTATTATTGTACATGAAAATACGTGCTAGATTTGTGTAGACAACAACTGTGGAGACTTCATCTCAGAGAAGTGCCCATCATCATAACATAGCATCAGTAACTTAGTGTCTGGGTCATGTCGTGTCTTTTACGGTCTATCTTAGCAGTATTCCCAATATTACGTTTCTCTCAGAAAACCGTAGCATTAATTCTAAACACAATCATGATTTGGCTAGCTAGTTGCCAAACGAGCAGGACTGTCAAAGCTAATGCTAAATGCTAACAGTGCAGATACCTCTCTTTCTCTCCCGCTTGCTCTGCAGCTGTTTCTTCTTCTGTTTGTTGCTGAATGGCTTTTTCCGCGGCATTTTAGGACTAATATTCAATAATTAAAACTATGGACGGTGTGTTTTAACCGTCTCTGCCAACACTCAGCTTTGACTAATGTTATTTACATGGGTGAAGTTTCTGGACTCCCACACTTTTCAGGGGCAGTGACGCCATCTCCACTGCAGAGGATGGATTGCACCACCCCGGACGCAGACATGTATTTGTGTGTGAAACTGTATTCATTTGGCTTAATTTGTATATCCATCCATATTAGTGGGAATTATAACCGGAACAAGTGCATTTCTAAGTGTATGAAAAGATCTCCGTAATCGCCTCTACGATTTTAATAAGAGAAGTAATGGTACAGTCCACTTTTGTAAACACCTCACATGCATGACACATTCCAGCAGTCCCCTAATCCTCACTGAATATTAAACCTAATAATTAAAAATGTCAAACTAATCTAGCGTTTGATTAAAAGAATTTCAAACCACAGTAAAAAAAAGACAAGTCAAGTGTTCAGTATGGTTTATTTAATCTTTAACTATGTCTAATAGAGTTGTGTAACCTTGGATAGTATGCAATTATGGATTTCAGCAACACTAGTTACATTATTCATACAAGCTTAACAGTACATTAGAATTACATGAAACGCAAAGAGACTACTTGCATTGTCTCTATTGAAGACTTAAAAAATAATCTTCGAGTTGATCAAAGTCCAAACAATTCAAAAGTAGTATAAAGTCATAATGGTGATGAAGCATGTAACAATGTTGATAATTGTCGCTTTGGTGGTGGGCAATCTTCAATGACAATGACAATAGCACATGTCTGACCGACTCTGAAAGTAGTAAAACTTACCTTCATATGTTTCCATTGCAATAATAACTGTGTTAAAAGGGCTTGAATTTAAAATGTTATCTTGTTTAAAATTCTCTTCCAAATTTCACTGTACTTATGGGAATTTTGTTGTCTCTTCACAGCCCTCCTTTTGTCCTGCACCTTAGTCTTTTTAATTGACAAGTAGCGTAAGAGGCACCCAAAGCCAATTACACTGTTGACTATTTAAAATAAATTTTAAATCAATGAGGTTACCAACAAAAGTACACTTTTGTTGTAAAATATAAAATACCCTAATATTTATACTATATATTCCAAATTCAAGCCATTATAACATGCTGATATTGAGTGTTTTCAGTGCATGACCATCAGAAACAGAAAATGCACTATACATCTGCATTAAGTGGAAGAATAAAAATAACGTCTTTTTTTTCTCAATAAAACCATCAGTGTGATGGACTGAAACATTATTGTAGCCTTTACACGTACTTGCCACAGACGGGCAAAAGGACAACAATTCCATTGCTAAAAGGTGACAAAACTGATCAAAAACTACTATAGTTTACATTAATGAAAATGTCCCACTCATTTCTTCTGCCAACTCACTGCCCGGTAAAGTCTTTAGTTCAGTTCTTTTGAATTAATGATTTTGTCAAAGCTTTAAGGGGCTGTACCACATTTTAACGGTTTTCAAATCGCAAAACAAAAAAGGGTCAAAATTAAATTAGTTGGAGTTCAAGATTGTTTAAAACAAATGTTTGAACTGAATCTACACATTAGGATTCTCCGGTAATGGTTGATTGTATTTACAATCTTGAGCCAACCTTGGTCAGGTTTACATACTGGAGTAGGATATATGTAGGGCAGGCATGTCAAAGTCAAATACATCAGAGGGCCAAAAAAACAAATTTGCTGCGAGCCGAGGGCCGGACTGGTTCAATGTTTATTAACTCATTGCCTGCCAGCCCATTTCAGAACAGGTACTCCCATATTGCCAGCAGTTTCTGATGATTTTTATAGATTTTTCAAGACCCACAGAATATTGTGTACTATGACTATCTGAAATCCGAAACCAGATTCTGAAAGAATAGACTGTCTACTTTCATCAGCAAAAATAATTTTGTTTCTAGCTTGTAATTCCCAGTTGAGTAGAGGGAAGTTTTACTGAAATCACCAAAAAGCTGAGAAAAAGAGGCACAACAAGTGCATCTAACTGTTTTCAAACCATTCAGAGAGCGCTGCTGCCACCTGCTGGCTCGATTCAATATGCTCTCAAGCTTATCCCCAAACATATTAGATATAATTGACATCTGGGAACATGAAAATAGCGGAAAACGCAATTGACGTAATAGTGCGTCAATGGCAGGCAACGGGTCATGAAAAATTCATTCGCGGGCCGGAGTCAAGGCCCGCGGGCCTTGACTTTGACACCTGTGATGTAGGGTGTCGAATTTAAAATGTGGTTTATTTCAAGACTTTAATACACCGGTGCAACCATTGAGATTTGAGGATCGTTTCAAGGGTGTCCTGTCCATTTAACAATTGTAATTGTTATGCATAGTTCATCTGCAATATTGGGAATTAAGTGTGTTTTGTGTGTGTGTGTGTGTGTGTGCACATGAAAGTCGGCCCAAGGTTTACTAATATAATGGCGCACACAGCTAGATACGGACCTGCTCGTCACACCGTGCAAATAGGGCTTAAAATAGCGTTAATAGGAGACCCCCTCCTCCCCCTTTTCTGTTTTTAAACAGTCAGCTTTGACCGGTTAATGCAACCACTGGTTAACCGGTCACCGATTTACATCCCTAAAGCAGAGTGTTGATATTTTTTAAGGTACTTGGATTTGACATCAGCCTGCTAACAATGCACAACATAAAAATATATTAATACAGTATAAAAATTGGTACAGCCCCTCAACATTTTCTAAAGCATCTCACTCCTCTACGAGTTTAGATGCTCCACTTGAATCGTGGACGCCGACACCGTGAGGCACAAGTCTTTGTGAGCAGTGATTTCAGACACATTTTGTGGCTTGTATTGAATGTCACTCGCGGCTACAGTCTTAAACTGTTGCATATCAAAGGCGCATGGCACGCTCTCCGTCTGCTGATAGTTACTCTGCGCTTGTCCTCCTTGCATAGCCACCCCGCTTGCTCCCGTAGCCACAGCTGCTCCGGGACGACTGGACGACGCTCCATCCGGCTTGCAGTCCTCCTGGTTGCCACTGCTGCCCTGGTTTCGCTGGCTAGCTTGACCTGCCGCTGAAGGTAACTGGTCTGCGCTGTGTTTCTCCATGTGTCGCACCAAATAGGTCTCCTGGGGTGAAGGGATAGGTAGAGGGGAAACAGTGGACATGTGACTACACGAGGCATTGTAGCTCCCGGCTGAGTGATGCCAGTGCGAGGACTGATAGTGTTTCATGTAGTAATTGTCTTCATAAACCGATAATTGTCTTACTGATGTGTAGGAGCGGTTGCAGAGGCCGCAGGAGTAGATACGGGCGTGTTTGACCGTGTGCGTCGCCATGTGGACTTCCAGACTGGCCGCGTCCACGTAGCCCTTGTTACAGTTGGAGCACTTGAAGGGTTTGTCCTTGTTGTGTTGACGTCGGTGTGACTGGAACAGAGCGGTTATTGGAAAGATAATGCTAAGAAGAGCTCAGAGAGATTCAAAACATAAAAGTATTAGTTACATGCATTTTTTCAAATGTTTGGAAGAGGACTCAGTCAAACCTGCAAATTCGACAGCTGTGTAAATGATTTCTCACAGCCTGGATGAATACACTTGTACGGCCGGTCTCCTGTGTGGATCCTGAAGGAAAAGAAGAACGCTTGAAAATATGTAGAACGTTGAAATTGAACTTGAAAATATGCTCTTGTACGGTTGTTAATATATAATATATACAAAAAAGGTTATGTATACGACTATATGATATCAAGATCCAACAAACGATTGCTGTGGTTCTATAGTGCACTTTTTTTTCACTGTTTTCATGCGTTCTTTGTGCATTATTTGTGTGTCATTATTCTTTGTGTATCTGCAAGCTCCTCCATTACAATAGTCACATTATACCATTTTATCATGCCTCTGCACACTTATTTGATGACCTCCAATGTTTGTGTGTTTTTTTTATACATGCCTTTCCATCACTTTGGTATATGATGCACAATTAATAAAATAGTCACGTTAATTCCTGGTTTGTGAGTTCCTGTTTTTTATAATGGCTGACAGAAACCAAAGAACAATAGAAAGGGTTAGAGATGACACCTGCTAACTAGACAAGTTTTTCTTAGACATATTATACATGTGGAAACAATAAATCAGTTTCAAAATGCAGAGAAGTCATCCAAATCAAGAGTATATTAAGGATTGCAGAGATTCAGCACAGAGCGTTTTGTGAGAATATGAAACACAAACTGCCTTTTATATAAATATAGTAATTGTACTGGTCAAGAGGCAAGGCTTTAAATAAATTCCTGACCATCACCATTTTTCATGGTTTTAAAGATTATCATAGCAAATAAAAGTATGGCGTTCACGAACCTGTTGTGCTGCTGGAGGTGGCTGAGCTGCCTGAAGGACTTCTCGCAGACGGTGCAGGCGTACGGCTTCACTCCGGTGTGGATGCGGTAGTGCTGGGCCAGGTAGCTCGAGTTAGCAAACGACTTTGTGCAATGAGGACATTTATGAGGCTTTGACTCAGTGTGGTTCCTATGGAGAAAAGTGAAATAAATATGACGTGACAGCACCAAGCAAAGACGATTCAATAGACCCTTTTCACACAGATACTGGGCTAGTTCTGGATGTCTTATCAAAGCAGAAGTGCCTCGTTTCTCTAACATGGGTTTTAGAAAATATATACGGAACATACAGTGAGTTCCAGCTGGATAATTACAGGGGTCAGTTTGTAAAAAGTACACCCATCAGTAAACCTTAATTCATTATACATCTGAAGCTCTCCCTTTTCCTCAAGTATCATTATGAATCCAGTTGGGCCAAACCCCCTATATTAGAGAGAAGTATGAATGTGCTTTGCTAGCAGTGACTATGTGAAAAGGGTCTATAAAAGATGTATGGACGTTTGCATGGTGGCAAAGCAAAAAGGAAATGTGCACTTTTCTTGGATTGAAAATATCTATTTTTAGTTTATCATCTGCAAATCTCTGCCTGCAATATTCCATACTAACCCATAGATCAATTTTTATAATACTTGTGTAATATATAAAAATAAGTAAAACTCGCATTTGTATTTCAATAGATTCAATTCCAAGCCAATGAGGGTGTCATAACCAATCTAAATATTTTGAATGATGCACTAAAAAGTAGGCAGCATTACTATAATATTGCAATTTAATTTGAGTTTGTATCCTTTTTGCAATGCATAATTTGCAACGCTACAGCAGGGAGCACTGGAAACTACAGTAGTGAACAGAGATGATGCTCAGCCAATAATGTCACAAAGGAATAATTGAAAAGCTCCATGAGATATATTAATGAAGCGGGTAATGTGAATTTTCAGCAAGAGGTAAAAGTGTATTCTGGCAGAATATTCACAAAGCAACGACGGATGGGTCACATAACATTCTGCTCACGTTATATTAACAAACATGGGGAGCAATCATTATCTGCGACGGCCATGCAATAATATTCAAATTAGCAGCAATTTGCACAAAATTGGCAAAGAAATGTCATTTGGAGTAGAGACAGCATGCGAGCCAACACAGAAACAGACAATCTCGTTTCCAGAAGCAGAGCAAGGGAGTTATGTTGCAAAGATGATAAGGAAACAGAGGTGGGAGATATGACGCCTACAAAATATTAGCAACAGTCTAGTTTTGAAAATATCCAAAATTAAAATGTTGAGTATTTTGACTTTAAAGGAACCAGCTGTTCAGTATCCTGCATACATTAAAATATAGCTGTTCAGTTTGGTCCTCTTAGTTCAACAAGGACAGCAAAAACTGGTTACTGGCGTAGATTTATGATTTTTTTTTTGTTGCTAATTATTACATGGAAAATGAAAAAAAAAAGAGTTTGTAAGAGCCACTTACAACTTTACATTTGTTGTAACTAAGCTAAAAACCTTATAATACAGGATTACTGAACGAGTCTGCATTGGGGGCCTTTCATTATTTGAAATAATCGTCATCTTTTTTACTGGACTTAATACAATATATTTCATATGTATTTGCCCTGTTTTTATGTTTTATTGTCTTTTAATTGCTTGTGAAGCACTTTGTTGAACACTGTATGAATTGTGCTTTATAAATAAGTGATTAAAAATAGGATTTATTTTGTCCATAAACATTGAATATTAGTCATTAAACTGCAGTGAAGTCTCCACAGTGCTCATCCAGCTGTCGTGAACACTTAAAGCTGGGGTCACTGATGATCAAACAGTGGAATTACTTTCAGAACAGACTTTGTCAGTTGCATGAGTTGTTGGCCTCTGTCACAGCTTTATATCAACTTCCACAGACAGAAAATTGATGAAGAGCTAAGCACCCTTGCTCAGCCAATCAGCCAAAATCAAGGGCTCGTTCGTACAAGCTTGGCAAAGATAAAAGTTGTCAAATGAGACTGACGTGATCGTATTTCTTCACTGCTTTACCGGGGATAGAAATTTAGGCCAAGTCATAAAGAAAAGAGTAAGGCACCCCAACTTTAATAATAACAAGATTTATTTTGCGATTAACGGATTCATCACAACTAATCTTGTTTTGTCGATTATAAACTATTTTGATATTTGATTGTTAACTGCTCTTAATACAAACATCACATTTTATTTGTTGAAAGACGCATTTTAACTTTATTTGAATAATGTAAATGACAAATGTGTGTTTTTAACTAAATCTATTTATTGGAAGAAAAAAATTGTGAGTTACACTAGGTACCAATGGCACCTCCAATGTTGCCCTTCCAAATGCCAATATGACTGAATTTTTTGCTTTTACAAACTTATGACAAAAAACATTGATTATCAAACACTTGCACATTATCACCAAAATGCATTATTGCATTATATCGCCCACCCCTACAGGGAAGATGGCAGGGTTGAAGGGGGGGGTCTGCAGTACCGTGTGTGCTGCTGTAAGTGACTGAGCTGCCTGAAAGATTTCTGGCAGTAGGAGCACGAGTACGGCTTTGCTCCGCTGTGGATGCGGATGTGCTGGGCCAGGTAGCTGGAGTTGGCGAATGACTTGGCGCAGTGCGGACACTTGTGCGGTTTGGCCTCTGTGTGCGACTTGGAGTGGATCTGCATGTCAGACTTACTGAAGAAGGTCGCCACGCACATCCGGCACCTACAGGCGGAGAGACACAGAGATGGGAGGCCGGGAGAGCCAGAGGAAAGCCACCGAGACCACACCGACAACAACCAAGACAATGCAGCTGACGGGGTGGGCGATATGGTGGTCCGAATAGTGATAGTTGATGTAAATGATAATACAGGGCTCTTTACAGTTTTATATACAGATGCACTGAAGTCAATTTGGCTCTGTCACGTTTACAACACTAAAGGTCTACTGTTACGTTGGGTTAGGGCTTGAGGTCAGTTTGATCAGCCTCAATTTTGTTTAGTTTTGGTGTATTCCTGGTTTATTCCAAGATTTTTGATTAAATCCCACTTTGGATGTGGTCTATGTGTTAAAGATGGGGTGCCTAACTTTCAAACCACAAAACATTTAGTCGTGTGATGAAATCCAACAAGTTTGTCACTCTCCAAGAGTTTGGTTCTAACATTAGTTTTCACATTCATGCATTTTTGGCCTCTGTCTCATCTTTAGATCAACGTTTTCATAGAGAAAAGTGAATAAGAGGCCCACCCTCACTCAGCCAATCAGCTTTCGAGCTAAAGCATCCAATAATGACATACAGGGCTTCAAAGACATTTTCTAATAAGACAAAGAAAGCTTGTTGTTGTTTTTTCACAACATTTTACTGAAACAATCTTTGTTGGGACAAACATAATGCAAGTTCATGGAAAAAGTTGGGTACCCCAGCTTTAAGCAGAGGTAAACTACGGCGTGTTTTATTTGTTTAAGTGATAGTGTCCAAATATTTTTTTTTATTAATCTCAGTGTAACAGCCATTTCACAACAACATGCAGCCAAACCTCCAACCTCATCCAAACTGACTATAGTCACACTAAACAATAACAACAACAAACCGCAATATTACAATGACTATTTTTAGCAACAGAAAAGTTTAGTGGAATTCATTATTTTTGCAAATGTGATGTAATGTGAGTGATGTCAGTATCGCCCACCCCTTAGTAAAAGAACCAAACTCATAACAAAGCATTGACCAAAAAAATTAATAGAACTAAAAACAATACAAACAATATATTTCCGATACAACACAAATACACCAGAGAAAAGTTTAAACCACACGCAAAAGGGGGATAGAAAGTAGCAGACACAACCTACTAATGCAGCATTATCATACAAATGGAGAATTTAGTTTTTTCCTCCTTTAATGCACAAACCGCAAACTGAACCTGCTCTGCTGCAACATGCTGTGAAGCATTTTAATACGTGACACATTTGTGTTATCAACAATCAAAGCCACAACAGCTCGTGAAGTTGATACGGCCACAAAGCAACAGCTTGATTAAGTTAGGAAAAAGAAAAGAGTTCTTATGTTTTACCTGTAAGTTTTGGTGCTGTCTTTTGTTCCTGGGATATCCTCCTCATGAGATAAGTCATATGGGTCTGCTTCCACTGGTGTCACCTGGAAAATATTCAGGGAAATATTACAGGACGGAATTCAAAGCATTGCTATGGAACTCTGTCCATGTAGCGACTTATGAAGGTTATTGTCAACATTACCTGTCCATCAGGTGTAAGCTGAGCCAAAATTATAGTCTCTCCTCCAGGACCAATTCTGGTAGTCTTCTTTTTTCTCCCTCGTTTTGAAGGAGTTGCTTTTTTATCTGAAATAAAATATATTTTCTACAGTTATGTGAAATACAATAAACAGAATAAAATACAACTGAAATGTTTTATGTGAAAGTTCATTATTTTAATCTAGTATGCCAATGTCTTTTTGGGTATGATTTATGATTACAATAATATGATGTTAGCAGTGACCTGTGTTTGTAGCATGCAGGGAGGACACCACCATCGTAGCTCCGGGACCAGAGACAAACGACTGAGGTGCGTTTTGTGTTAGCAAAGTCCCCTGCGGCGTCGTGATGACCAGGCCTCCTGCAATCAAATACACAAACCAACCTTTCAATGGTTTACTCCGTGTTATTTATTACTTTATGAAGTACATATGTATGGACTGTTCCAACCTCTCCCCTCAGACCTGAAGCTCTCGCCCGAACACTTCATATCAATTGTATATAGTAATAATTTTAATATTTTAGATAATTTTATACTTTAGAATATGTCATAATAAAAACAAACAATTCTCTACTTAACTTGTTTGCACCGAGAGCCAAACAAGTTAAGTAGCAAAAAAATTATTCTGATTCTGATGTATTGTTTGAATGAAAAATCCAATCATCTTTGCTTCCATACTATCCAAAGAAGTATAAAATAAACAATACTGAGAAAATAAAAGGATAATATGATGATACAGCTGCTTTAATTCAGGTAATAAACAAAAAACTAGAAAGTGAAAATGATTACCACATTATTGAGCCAGTTAAAATTAGAACAAATGTTGATGTAGTGTTATCAAACAAAATCTTTGGGAAAGAATAAAGTTTCTATAATTATGTTTTGGACAATGCCAATTATTTTCTTGCTGTACATTACTTAAAAAGATCCTTTATTTCACAGTGTGAAAATGTCAGTGTTGCATTACAGGTTACAGGACAGTAGGAATGAGGAGCACACAAACACAAAGTAAAGTGAATATTAAGTGTAGAATGTATGAACTGCAGGGAAACTTCTGAGTCGATGTGTTTATCTCCAATACACCAATACAATAAACAAAAATAATGTATTTTCCTCATGCTAAATCCTTCTTCTACCTGCTGCCATGATGCTTGTGGTTGAGACGGGGAGCACTGTGATATTCTGTGTGCTGTGTGGGGTTTGGTGATTTTGGACTCGACCCGGTTGGTTTGAGGTTTCCATCTTGGCCCCAGGAGCTGGAATTGTGACCACCGCAGGCTGATAATGAGGTACGGAGGTAACAAAGGAACCATTCTTATCCACCTGAAAAGTTTAACATGTCGATGGTTTACAGGATGTAACATATTATAGACTCTTGTTATCAAGTAAATGAGTCATGAGATTAAAGTGATTGTCTGGAGTTTGTCAGAAAAAGAGAGAGGTGCTTGATTTGAAAAAAAAAAAACAACACAAGCTCCCTCCCCCTTCCTTTCTGATTAGTCTACGCCTACGTTTCCGTAACACTTTTAAATGTCTATCAGAGAACACATTATACATATACATTATTGATACACATGCACAGAGGTTTTCAGAATTGTTTGTTAACGTTTTAATGAAAAAAATAATGTTTTTTATGCACACAAAAAGCGAGCGCGGCAAACCCGGAAGAAGCTATTATCATGAATTGCACATTATAGGACACATCTGCAGAGGATCTGATTATGGATATAGGTTCAGTATATAAATGAGTAACTCAGCGCGGATGTTCAGAATTCTTTGTTCAGTTTTCATGTAGTTTCAGAGCCTAATGGAGGCTTGATTCGGAGGCTCCGCGAATACAAACAACTGAGCATCAGCGCCGATGATTGACAGCCCTTGGCATGACTCGATTGGTTAACGTGGACGGCATTGTGGATTCTGAACTATGGCTAAGAGAAGGGAAGGCGGGACTTGCCCGTAATATTAGAATTAATAAAATGACTTGTTTTATATCAACATTTAAGGCTAGGAGGTCAATTTAACACATTTCCTAAAATGTGTAATTCATTTAGAGTTACAGACTATCACTTTAACTTATCATGACCAAGTGGTGATTAGTGGTCATTATACACTATATACAGTTGTAAGAATTATTCTTGAGCAAAATTATTGGGCTACTATTGTTTAATGTATTTTGGATTATACATTCACTTACTTTTACTGTAAAGTGAAGCATAATCAAAGAAAATTATTCAAAATCAAAATACATGACAGCGATGATATAATTTAATAATGAACTCAAAATAGCTCGTCACAGTGCAAATAAAAAGAAAACCCATGGTTTTCTATTAAATCACTAATAACTTTAACTAAAATATTAAATAAATAAAACATTCTACAATTGCTTGGCAACAGTATCAGTGAATAACGTTATGTTCTTCTCAGTACTTTTTCACAGTATAAATCAATGCAATTCTGACGAGTTTCTTACCTGTCCTGCAACAGTGGTTACAGGAGTCCAGAAATAGGATGAATTATTAAAATGTGACTCCTCCATAGTTTCTGTAAAAAATAAATAAAAAAGTAAAATGATTTGCATTGTATCATTATTTTTAATACCTTGCGAGAACTTAATGTTTGTTTTTAATTACCGCTGCGATTTTAATTTATGTTTTTAATATTCTTTGTGATCTTAATGGTTGTTTTTAATGCCCTGTGTTTATAGTTTATGATGTATGCCTTATGTGATAGGGGCTGTGAAGCAATTTCTGTTACCTTGAGTTGGAAAAGTGCTCTTCAAATAAAGGTTGATTCATATATTTTCAATGGTAATAACACCAAAACGTGCATTGGTTCCTCCAAACAAACCTGATGTGAACATAATGTACCACAAGACAATTAGATTAGACCAACATCAAAACAGTATATGTTTTCACGTTACTGTAATGGGAGTTGCCATCCAATTGACTCAGACCGCTTTAATAACATAAAACAGCATAAGATCAATCCTAGCAATGGTTAAAATTTGGACAAGGCGCAAAGGCCGACTCCATTTCGTCTCATGTCTACCCTAGGCCCAATATATGCACAGCCACAAGTCCGAGCCAGTGGTTCTCTTCAGCTTCAAGTGGAATTGTAGCGACCAAAACAGAGCGTAGAAAAAAACAGAAATTATAAAAAAAAAAAAAAAAAAAACGGGGAGAAAAAAGGAAAAAAATGTAAGCGGACCATGCACGCAGACTTCCGGAGCGAGGTGGAGGCAACAGCGCGCTCCTCACCAATGCGCGACATGGGATGCGTCAAAATTGGGATTTATCACATCGTATCTCTCATATAAACTGCCTGAATCGATTGAAGTAGAGACTGGAAGTGTACAATTGCTTTAAAGTCGACACGTTCCTCCATAACTTGCCTTGTTTTCGTGATTTTTCTTCCTCCGGTCGAGCTGCTGCCCACGGCTAGCTCCACTTCCCCCGGATCAAGTCGCCAGACAAAAGGAGCGCGTAGCATATGTCACTTCCGCAAACAAAAACTGGTTTAATACATGGATGTGTCTATATAATAACATAATAATTAAGGAAAAAGGCTGGATGACCAAGTTTAGAGTCCGCCAGATCACATGCATTTACATGGGTGAGTGAATCTGCAACGTGCTGTGTAGCTAATACAGTAATACAGTGGTCGTATGGACAGCAGCCAATCATGCCTCAAATAACATGGATATGGTTATTTCTTATATTACAGTACAGTCTATGGATTGGACTGTTGGCTATAGTTTTTTGAGTGCACGGGGATGTCCATTCTACTAAGTCATAATAGTATAGTATATTGGGTCCTGGTCCTGATATATTCTGTACATGTGTACTCAAACCAGTCAGACTGACTGTCCACTAATATTTTTTCTTTTATGAAGTACTCGCAGTACATAAACATTACCACATCCCTTTGCATAGTGTGCTTTTACTGGTATATCATATGGTGACCAAAGTCTCCAAGATATAGAACATTTACATTTAGTTCTATATGGACATTTTTTTTATATTAAATTGCTACTGTGTCTTTTTGTATGCGTTAGGGTCCAGTTGTTATTAAGGATTGTGGACTATTCATTTGATTACATTAAAAGGTGGAGTACCTTTTTTGGTTTTGTTTCACAATTACTTTTTGTTTGTCCCAACAAAAAGTTTTAGCTGTAATAAATGTAAACTATAAATTACATACATCTTTATATTTCCCCATGAGATCAAAGTGTACAAATCATATTTGGCCTTTTCTGAATAAAAGTTTAAGCTTTATTAAAAATGTGGAATTTCATAAGGTTTATATTTTCCATTTAAGAGCAGATTATCCAATCAGAAAGCAGAATGAAGCTCTTGTGTGGGTTTCCAGTCTGTTGGGGGAAATCAAAATGACTTGGCTCCATCTCCAAGTCACAAGCGAAAATAGCAGCACACACTTTATGAAAGTAGTCATACACAATACACAGAGATTGTACCATCTACTAAACCCCAGCAGTGGTAAGCATTCGTGCTACAAATCAGAATCAGAATCATTTTTATTGCAATGTAATTAACAGGAAGTCATAGACTAGAAAATTGCTTTGGCTCTCGGTGCAAACAAGTCAAAAGTAGAGAAAGAATAAGAAAAGCAATAAGGTCTTGGGTTTGATTAAACCTCCACACCATAAGACATTGAAACTGCCTGGTTCATTAAACCACTGTCCCATTCAAATATTTGTTTTAAGTGCTTAGGAACTATATGTATCACAGGCAGTAGGGTTATTATGTCTACTAATTGTAAATACTAAGGGTGCATATTACATACTGTAAATACTGTACATACTGTACATTTTGCCAGACAACAACATGCTGTCTTTATCTTCATGAGAAAACATATTATACATTTGAGTGCTGATCGGCTGAGTGGGGGCTGGTCTCTTTTTCACTGAAAAAACAGATCTGAGGAAAGACGTTTTTTAAGTAATGTATGCTATGGTCTGTGAAACTGATTTTTTAAAATATTATTATTATTTTTATATATATTTTTTTAAATGATCTTTTATTATGAGTTTACCATAGACTGCGTGCAGAATGTGTATTTCCGCTAATGTCCAGTGAGAGGCGCTGTAAGAACATGAATACGCTACAAGCAAAGTCATCAACATCCGGCGACACGTCTTATAAACATTAACAACACTGGTACTTCTCTGCAGCTTGCGATCAGGATTCATTTATATTTCTACCACTTAGACGTAAAGTTATGTCTCGTTGACGTTGTTGGCAGAGCACATGTTTGAAATTGCATTGTAGGAGTGCTTTATATTTGATAAAGCACAACAACAAAAATATCAAGGCTCAAAAATCCCTGCATGTATTAACAATACAGTCTATGGTATTAACGCTAGTTGAGTTGCAGCGGACCAAAGTTTCAATGGGGGAAGTCAGAAAACTGCAGAAAAAGCTGAGACAGATTGAAAATTTGGAAATTAAAATCAGTCTATCGCCAGAGGAGAGATTCAAGGTACAGATTGCGTTTTATTTACTTTTTCATAATTTTCACTATACTTTAAGGTCTGCAGCGTGATTACTCACGTTGAAAGCAAGTCAAGTCAGCATTTGTTTTTTCCTCTTCCTGGTGTAAAACGTCACTAAACACAAAAGCACATGAGTTTGATCCATAGACTGTACATTGGTTTTACCTGCTGCTCCTGTGGCTCTGATCGCTCATGTGTTGCAGCTGCTACGTTTTGATTTTAGCTGGATTTAACCTGATGAAGATTAGAAACATTTATCTTTTGTGTACTTGTAAGAAATATCCATGCTAGTAACTATTTGGTGCTTTGCAGTCAGAGCTGATAAGTCACGGTTGCCACTTTCCAAAGGATTTTGGGAGTGATTAAGTTGCATTTTATTAGATACGTGTGGTTAGAAAGCTTGGTACCTAATTTCTAACCCTTACCCCAGAACATTTATATGGCCTGCTGTACATTCTTAGTACTGTCAAGTAGGACTGTAACAAACTAATTGAGGTTTATTTTTTCACCTAAACAGATCGCAAAAACAATGCAACAGGAAATATGTGAATGTCTCATTTTAAGGATGAAACGGTCTTGCACCATCTGTTTGTTTCTAACACCTGGATACGTCTATTTGTGAACCATTCCATTGTAGATTTGGCTTTATGTTTTGGATCATTGTCCTGTTGGAAGATAAATCTCCGTCCCAGTCTCAGGTCTTTTGCAGACTCCAACAGGTTTTCTTCCAGAATGGTCCTGTATTTGGCTCCATCCATCTTCCCATCAATTTTAGCCATCTTCCCTGTCCCTGCTGAAGAAAAGCAGGCCCAAAGCATGATGCTGCCACCACCATGTTTGACAGTGGGGATGGTGTGTTCAGGGTGATGAGCTGTGTTGCTTTTACGCCAAACATATTGTTTTGCATTGTGGCCAAAAAGTTTGATTTTGGTTTCATCTGACCAGCGCACCTTCTTCCACATGTTTGGTGTGTCTCCCAGGTGGCTTGTGGCAAACTTTAAACGAGACTTTTTATGGATATCTTTGAGAAATGGCTTTCTTCTTGCCACTCTTCCATAAAGGCCAGATTTGTGCAGTGCACGACTGATTGTTGTCCTATGGACAGACTCTCCCACCTCAGCTGTAGTTATCTGCAGTTCATCCAGAGTGATCATGGGCCTCTTAGCTGCATCTCTGATCAGTCTTCTCCTTGTTTGAGATGAAAGTTTGGAGGGACGGCCGGGTCTTGGTAGATTTGCAGTGGTCTGATACTCCTTCCATTTCAATATAATTGCTTGCATAGTGCTCCTTGAGATGTTTAAAGCTTGGGAAATCTTTTTGTATCCAAATCCGGCTTTAAACTTCTCCACAACAGTATCTCGGACCTGCCTGGTGTGTTCCTTTGTCTTCATGGTTCTCTCTGCGCTTTAAACAGAACCCTGAGACTATCAAAGAGCAGGTGCATTTATACGGAGACTTGATTACACACAGGTGCATTCTATTTATCATCATCAGTCATTTAGGACAACATTGGATCATTCAAAGATCCTCACTGAACTTCTGGAGTGAGTTTGCTGCACTGAAAGTAAAGGGGCCGAATAATATTGCACGGCCCACTTTTCAGTTTTTTATTTGTTAAAAAAGTTTAAATTATCCAATAAATTTCATTCCACTTCACGATTGTGTCCCACTTGTTGTTGATTCATGACAAAAAATTTAATTTTTATATCTTTATGTTTGAAGCCTGAAATGTGACGAAATGTTGAAAGGTTCAAGGGGGCCGAATACTTTTGCAAGGCACTGTACATAAAATATCAATTGAATTGTTCTTACAGCCCTATACATGTCATATATTCTTTGGACCCCATCTTTTACACGTTTATCACTTCACATTCCCTTTCGATACACCTTACTTAAATGCTTGAGCTTTTTCTTATTTCATTGCTATTTTTCTTGGTCCTGAAAGTCTGTTACGTTAACTGCGTATAGACACAATATATGATTTTCAACTTGAATTAGAGATGATGATATTATAATTTTGCATTGGTTAAAAACAAAAATGTCAGGATCAATAAGTGCACAAATTATTGTCAATCTAATGTATTTGAGAGTTTAAATGAACTGGATCTTAGAATCTCCTTTTAAATGTTGCCATGTTTTCTCTCACCAATCCTGCATCTCTAATTTTGAGTTAAATGCACATACAGCAGACTCAACATGTTGGCTGCTAATAAACAAGCCGTGGATTAAGTCTATTGGTTGTAAGTCTGGTGTGTTCTGCTCCTCAGATCTCCAGGAAGGCGGAGCTGCGTTCCAGATTGGCTGAGCTTCAGCTGCAGCTTTCAGGCCCGCAGCAAACTCCAGGGAGCGACAGAACTGGGAAAAAGGAGAAGATGAAAAGACAAGTGTAAGGAAGAGAGGGAGAGACACAGACAGAAACATAATTCTTCAAAAGCAACGCTCACTAAGTCCTTTGATCTGCTTTGTATGTCTGTCCCAATGTGCCACAGGTCAAATGGTGTCAGTCTAACAATAAAGAAAACATTATCATAGATGTTTTCTTCAAAATATCCTGACTGCCTTTACTATATTTTTTATTGGTTCATGTTTAGAATTTCGTTTTTAATAATTGGACAAAATAAATACAATTATGTACAGTTTTAAAGAGAACATGTGATGCAAAGTCAAATCATAGAATAAGACTGTTGTAGATCTAAAAAGACCAAAGCACCCTTGCTTATTTTCAATAAATATACTAATATAGTCTTCCTAGCAAATCTTGAGGATACTGCTAATAATTGTATTTTTAATTTAGTACCCACACGTCTACTGATCAGTAAGAACTACATTCTAGAAATAACCAGTATATATAACATTTTAGCTACATGCTAAACCTGAAGTTTGTATTTTATTTGATCTATAGTTTACCAGGTCAGAACCTGTCATATATTAGTTTAACATTATAAGTTGAATTAGAGAAGTCAATGGACTTTTGAACAATATTGACTTCTGTAAGGTTGGAGCAGACTGAGTACTGTACAGTACTGTACAACACTGCAATGTATTGTTGGTTACTAACCCTTTAGGCGCCAATGTAGCGGAATTGCTACACAAAATCCAGGATACTTTTTATACGGCTTCCCACAAACATCTCCCTAAATCTTTCTTACATTTTATATATATATATATATATATATATATACATATATATATATATATATGCACCAAATTCTGGGCCCCGGGTACAAACGCACTCGATATATAGACACACTTTAGAGGGGCCCCTCCCCGCCTTGGGCCCTGGGTACCCCCCCCCCCCCCCCCCCCCCAGTCCGACGAAGTACATTGTAACGAATGTACTTCTGTTGATTGAACTAGTCCACCATCTCTAACTATAGGTATATAGGGGAACTGGCCTCCTTAGAGGGAACCCCTATTAAAAAATGTCTCACACATCTCCGGAATGATTGACAATTAGGACCAATAGTCCTGATGTTCGCCCTGGAAGAAGAAAATCCTCCCACATACCTTTAAGTTACAGGGTGTCACCTATTGCCTATTTCACAATCCTTTTCTACAGGGAGCCTAAAGCGTTAATGCATTCATCAGTCCATCTTAATGGTATAGAAAACGTTAAACGACCAGTGATACTCCACAGAGGAAAGTCATGGAGGGGCAGGACCATGGGGCATCAGGGAATCCTACCAGGGTAGATGACCGACTGCTAGCCATCGTCTCCCATTGATATTTTGCGATACTGATTCATTTAGAGACTTCTACAATATCTTTGAATTACCTCCCATTTTGACTTCTGACCAGAGGATATAATCTTACCAGGGTCTGTCTGATGGCAGCCTATATTTATAAGAAACCGCAGAAATGAGATAAACGACAAATGATCAGATTTTGTTGAAGAACCAGATCACTGTCTGGATCCAGGATTTTCTTTTAAATATTGATGCTGCGCCTCATGGTAGAGGTTTGCGCTCTTCGCCTACTTTTCCAATTGCCCATCTATACTAAATTTACTTCAACATAATTCCCCTTTTCTTTGATCTTACATTTAAAAAACATGTATTTGAGCTATATAAATATTTGAGGTAGTCAGTAGTAAGTTGACCCTTAGTTTTTTCATGAGGATTATTCTACCAAGCCCATGCAGAAAAGTGACATTTCTGAATCCCTTCATTCTACTTTTTTCACAGGGAGGATGTCCCCGAGGCTGTTCCATCACAAATATTTCCCGCCTCCAAGATTCTGAAAGCAGAGGTTCAGTCTAAAGCAGAACAAAGTCCTGCTGCGAGGGCCCCACAGAAGGAGGCACGAGGCGCAGAGGCCACAGGACAGCGGAGTGAAGAGGATGGAGCCATGGCGAGTTCTACAGCCACTGACCATCAAGGTGGGATTTTCATGAGCTGAGAGACCCAACTTTCCAAAAAAAGCTATTGTAACATGCAGACCTCCACCAAAAGCTTCAGTTTCATTCCTATAGGAAAGTCCTGGATCCCAGCGTCTAAATTGCAATAATTTGTTTCTTGTTCCGTAGGTTTAATGATTTGTTTTTAACCTGCCCATGACCTCTTGAGTTATGTTGCAGAAAGACAGACAGACAGACAAGATGGTTCAGTAATAGCAACAGAATGTATACATTATTTGTCATAATTGACCCACTCACACTTAGTCTCAGCAGGGTGTGATAACGTTTCTTTTGTTTACATGGATCCAGGTCATTATGGCTGTTTGTAAGCTTCATTATATAAAATCCACCTATAGCATTTATATTTCCATAGTACCACACAAATAGACAGAGTGCCTAGAATCAGTGGCTTAAAATGGTTCTTAATATTTATGTTGACATCACATTTTTCTGTAACAATACTGTATACGCTTGACTCTTCAAGATGGTGCTGATGAATATTGATAGACGTTCTATTCTGGGCTCATACTTTAGACTACCCTACTTCAAGATTTGTAGTTGTGACAGGCCAGGCTAACACTATTGTCGACAGTTTAAAATGCAATGCGGCCTCACTGAATGCCCTAATTTGCTATTAGCATCTAAAATCAGATTATTCATGTATGCCCTGAGGAGACTTGACAAGCTTAGTTGCTGCCAGCGTTCAAACTAACAGCCACTATTTGCCTCCCTGAAGACGGGACCTGTGTTTTGCTTCCTTGCAGTTTAATTGGCTCTGAGCGCCACAGCAGCAGACTAATCCATATTGAACAACTGTAGATTAACAAGTCTGAGCTCTGATGAGTCAACATTGCTAATTGCACAAATCATTCATTTTTACAGAAGCTGATTTTACATCGCTCAAAGCATCGTGGGAAAAGGCAAAGTTTCGCTTGAGGCTGCTGGACGGCCACAACGACATTATCACCTGTGTGGTTGCCGTTGACAATCTTGTCATTTCTGGAAGGTACTGCTGCATGTCCTAATTTGCATAATGGATGTGTACATTAAAGATATCTCAGAATGTATCTCTTTTGTGCATCTCCTATAAGTCTGTGTTTGTTTAACTGTTTGTTCTGAGGTTTGGACTAAATCCCTCTTAAATCACTGGTTTATAGAGTTATTGGGCTTACACATATTATGTTTTATGTATGATTAAAATAGCTATTTCAAAACCCTTGAGCAAGTTAAAATCAAAATGCTACTCAGTGAAAAAGTTTAAAGTTGAATTACTCCATTAGGCCCATCATCATCTCACAGAATGGATGCAGAACTAGGGTTGTGTAAAACAGCGGCGTCTACATACAGATCTTTCAGTGCTTAGAGCTCTGCCTCCGGCGGTCAACGGGGATGAAATAGAACTCATCTTAATCTCATGGTAAATTAAAGATAAATCAAAGGCCAAAACATTTGTCAGACACAAATAATATCAATGGAGTGTGGTTGTTCATGCTGAATATTCTATTCATTGGCTTGATTAAGTGGAAAATAATCTTTTTAGCCTGAAGTAATTCTAGATCAAACCCATACTTTTGTATTATGTTTCAAATAGTGTCGTCAAAAGTGAGAACTGATTTCATAACCATAACTGATTAAAAAGATACATTTTAAACAATAGGATGTAACATTCAGAAAATAACAGTTTCTACCTCTGATGAGGAAAGCACCTGCTGCTGCGCCTCTATTGTGTAGGGGCGAGAGGCCAGGTTGTGTCTTTGTGTTCATATGTCGTGTCCATGTGTAGTGTTCATATGTTGTGTTGATATGTGGTTATTGCAGATCCAACTGTGCCTTTTTCCCCCTTTTCTTTTATTTTTTTTAAGTCGAGACACCACTGTTAAGGTGTGGCACGTTCCCACGGCAACAGAGCAGAAGAACCTCGGCGGTCACACAGGGGGGGTCACCTGCCTCTGCGCCCCCCCTCCTGAGTACTGCAAGAGACTGGGTGAGACTTTATACTTTTAAACTACCCTTGCAGCACATCCTCTCACTATTATGTTCTTATTCTCATTAAATTAAATGAAACACAGGTCTAATTACGGTACACATACCCTGTACAGACTGTGCAGTGTACTCATTACAATTTAACTAAGATAGATATACTTACTATAAGAATAGAAAGTAACTTTATTGCATTACATTATTATTGTTATTATGATAAATGAATAATATATGGAAGTTTATGTTTTAAAACATCCTGAATAATGAGTGACATCTCTGCACACTGGTCCTGCTGCTGATCTCCTGTATGTGTGTGTATAGACTGTATGAGATTTCTCCACTTTCTAAATGCTCAATGTTGAAGTGGTGAGATAGATTTGTCTAATGAGAATTGTGCAAACATTAATTTACAAAGTCATTTAATGCGCTACTTAAACTTAAACTTGCCACAGTAAATAAGTATTTGTAAGTGTTATAAAATACCTATACCAAACAATGTTGAGTGTAAAGTGTCAAGGAAACATTATGTTTTCATTCCAGAGCTCCCCGTGAACTGATAATGTTAAGTCAGTTTACATTACATTATAATAAATGTGTTCAAACGTACCCTTAACCAGTAAATGCAGAGAAGATCATTTTTAGCCTGGTGTTTTTCAGATCTTGTATTCTGCAAATTCACTGTGTTCCCAATATGTTGTCATCCTTTTGATGTTTTTTCTTCTTTGTTATTATGTTTTCCTTCTGTCAGCTTGGTCCCTGTCTCTGCCCGACAAAGAGAGGTTTATTTTAAGTGGCTCTGCAGATTGTAATGTGAAGATCTGGGCACTTAGTATTGGTATGTTTACCTACAACCTTATATTAATAATGTACATTTATCTCTTGTGGACGACAGTGCCTCAAGGCTGCATACAGTGCATGCATAATAATTACTCTGTATTTTTAGTTACACTGTGTTTACCTGTGCTGTTCGTGACCTGTAAATGAAATATTCTTTCTCCTTGTACCTTCAGGCCAGTCCGTTAAATCTATTTACACGTTCAATGCTGTGACTGCGCTGTGCTTTGTGCCAGAGGGAGACGGCTACATCGTTACTGGATCAGGTAAAACAAAACAACCTAGGACAGAGCTAGCCCTGAAAAAATGGACAGTTGGGTTCTTTTGACTTGTACAAAAAAGCAAACTATGGTTCATTTGGGAATATTTGTGGGTCACGGGTGGTAAATTATTTTTAATTTCTGGAGATGGTAAAGCACCAAACAGTGCACCCTGGTCCACCAGACTTCACGATGACTGTTGCATTTTCTTCTGAAGTTGTGTTGAACCAAAAATTTAAACTTAAACATGGTGTGAATATTATTGTACACTTTACCTTTTGAAAAAATACATATTTGTAAGAATTTATTATGATTTCCTGCTCACTATTGCTATATTTTAGGGATGGGTAATTTGTTTCCTTTTTTTATCCAATCAACACAGACAGACAGGATCAGAATCTGTGATATATGGCATGAACAAGATATAATTTATCACTTAAAGTAATTTTTAGACTCTACGCCACTACTTATTTCTTGTTCTTTTAACCCTGCAGAGTTTATGGACTTATTATTTTGACTCCATTCCAGTTTTAGTAACCATAGGACACTTGTTTTTTTGTCAAAATGGACTGGTTAAGCTGATAAACACCTTGTTGGTAAATCATGTTGTCATCTCTATTCTAAATTAAGAAAGCCTGCGGCTCAGATAGATAGATAGATACTTTATTGATCCAGCAGCAGAAGACTCATCCAGGTTTGTTGTACAGTCTGACAGCCGGAGGAACAAAGGATCTCTTAACGTTCCGTTTGGCAGCGCAGTGATAGGAGCCTGTTGCTGCGATTACTCCTCTGAGCGGCCATAGTGTCATGCAGAGGGTGTCTGGAGTTACCCAGGATGCCCTGCATAAGAGCCCTCATCCTTCTCTCCAGCACAGCTCCCACAGAGTCCACACTTCTCCTCATCACAGAGACACATTTCCTGATCAGCCTGTCGAGCCGGTTACTGTCTCTCAAGGATCAGACTGCCGCCCCTTATATTCAATTTCGGATTATATGTGGACAAAAAGGACTTGTTCTTCAAATGTTGCTAGTGCGCCTTATATAAAGGTGCATATTATAGTACAGAAAATACAGTACTTTAGTCACATGCACAGCCTAAAGTCCGGTTAAAGTTTGCCTGGGCCCACTTTGCGAAAATATCCGGGCTTTAGTTGCTATGTGACCGTGGCAACTGGGCTTGGGCGCGGTTGAGATAGGTGGGCCAGAGCACAGTTGTAAAGCCCTGATGAGGGGGGTCAGTGTGGCGGGTGGTGGGGAAAGGGGGATGAGGTGTGGTGGAGACTTGATATTGTGCGTCACATTACATCTTCCATTGTGACGCGCACTTTCACACACGTCTCTCCGTATTCTCCGCTTGTGTTAAAACTTTCATAAAAGTCCCCGGACCGTGGTCAAGGGGCGCTGGGAGTGTGTCGCTCTAGAGGGAAGCGTTTTCTACGGGGAACAAATACCTTCTGTTCTGACCCTCGCCCTCACAGTGTAGTGCTATTGCAACTGCAGACGTTCAGTCTTTATTTAATCACCAGAACACACCAACACACACTTGTATCTTACGGTGCTTACGGTCTTTAATCCAAAGCGCACACGCAGACACACACTTGTCCCAGTGAGCTGCTGCACTTTGGGGAAAGACACATCTCACAGTTGTACACATTGCTCTGATACAAACAACGCAATCCCGTGCCCGAGCTGTTGGCGCCCAGTAGCAGAATGTAAACAGGAGGAGAAACAGAAACTTAACTCTGACAACAGGGTAGTTGCTGAAGTTAGTATTAAAGCCACCAGCTGGACCGAGCGTGGTACTACAGCACAGTTGCTCTGGCACGTTTGCGATAACAAGCTAATGTTACAAGCACTTGGCCTACTTCGTTTGTAAAAACCTATATGACCGTGCTGCAATGCATCTAAGTTTTGCCATGGAGATTGATTAATTTTCTTGGAATGTAATTGGAATGTACCTCAGTATGTTGTTAACGAAATTACAAATGTTTCTTTCTTGGGGCTCGGGTTGGCCTCCTCACAGATATGAACTACAACATGGCTAAGTAACCTGTCTCCATTCTAGATGGAAAATCAAATGTCATACTGTGGAACATTCCAGGTAAAACAACTTTAATATGGATCCCAACAAAAAAGCTCAACCCGGAAATTTGCATAGTGCACCTAGAGAAGTAGATTTTACCAATTAAAAATGTTAGCGTTGAATTGACTTGGCACATTTGTCCCACCTTGTCAAAGATGATTGAAGAGGCCCATCATCCAAATGAACCAGTAAAGGTTCCATTTTGTAAGTGTCAATTGTGATTTGTGCACAGTCGTTGATTGTTGGTTCAATCAGTGTCATCCATTTTATTGTGACAGGTTTCGGTGCTGATAATAAGAGCATGTTGCAATTGATTAAAAAATGTTTTGTGTTGAAATTTTTTTGGTGTCATGGTAAGTTGTAATCATTAGAGCAGAATTCTTTGAAGGACTATTTTGGCTGTTGTTGCTTTTAGTTTATGATGAACTGAAAGTCATTTTGAGGGGCAGAAATGCAGTCATATGAGTATGAAAATATTGCCCAGTCATACCTTGATGTTAGAGAGTCTAAAATCGCTCGCCCATCTCCAGTAGTACTATGAAAGTGTCTAAAATACAGCTCTGATAGTGGTGATAGGTCGTGGAACAGCTCTATCAGCTCGACTGGCAGAGCTGAGTTGAATGGCTTCAGTCAGGCTCACTCACACTCACACACACACACATACTCACATACTCACACACTCACACACACACACACACACACACACACACACACACACACACACACACACAGCTGGGTCCTCTGTGATCAGCCGTAATGAGCGCTAGGCGGCTGTCGGCTCTGGTTAACCTCTCACTCTGTCACGTCAGATGCTGGTAAAGTCCAGGCCTGGAGCTGGGCCACGTTTGAGAACTGCCAGTCGATCAACGCGCACGAAGACACGGTCACCTCCATCCAGGTGAGCGCATTACTGCTACTGAGGACGCTATGGCCATGTACGGGAGAGGAATGTTGGGATGGTTAATTTGCTCATGTGATAATTGTGAATATTTCAAGCACATTTGGAAAAATTTACTTTCTCAAAATTATATTTATATACTATATAAATATTTAGAACACTTTATCATGCACTAACTTTGATAAAAATGCGGGTCACACACACAGCTTAAAAAGACAAATATGCAGCCTCTGAATTCAGTAGAAACTATTATATATTTATTGAGTATAATTTTGACTGACTTTGCTAACAGAGCAGGCTTGTTCTTGCTTCTCTGAGCATGAAATTGTATTTTTCTTTAAGAAAACTTTATACATTTTCTTAACGTTTTTTTTAACAGTAAAAAAAACCTAAAGCTGTAAATTCACCCTAACCCAAAGCATTGTGTCAATATTGTGAATAATTGTAAAACATTTTGAACTGGAAAATGTGATAATCCTAGTGGAAGCATCATAATTGTGCTAAAACATGCTGTTTTGACTAATAAGTTTTGTGTATCTTCAAAACCATAATTGCAATTTACATTTTGTATCTATTGGTCATCGTTATGCAGTAATTTGAAGGAACCAAGCACTGTATAAACATGGACAATGCTAATCCCTCAGCTCACTCAAGCCCAATAGCAAAGTGCTCATGAACAGTTTTGCTCTAACCCTCTCTGGCTCCTATTGACTTGCATTCAAAAGTAAACTTCTCCAGCTCAGTAACCGTTTGTGTCTCACTCCCCATTTTGAGATTAGAAAATGTGCGGTTTAGTTCTCACTGCATTTCTGGTATTTATTTTGAGAATTGACCAATCTGTCTTTTGAGGGCGAAACTCCATCTTGCCTTAGATTATTATGGCAGCAACACGTCTTCCTCTTAATGCGTGAAGCAAACGTTGTCAGATCAAATGCCAATGTACAGAAATCGGCCCCTGATAGTTAATGTTGAAATCGGCCTCTTCCATATTCAGCAAACACGTGACGTCAGAACACCTAATACACAATCTATTGAAGTAACGTACACACTTAGTAACGTACACACTCTTGTGGTGGTATACAGTTACTTTAAATGAAATTCACATTTAAGATATACATAAAAAAAATGGATTAGGGTTTGTGTTTTACTTGGGTATGAGGATGTGTTTTACCTTTTGTGCAATCCTCGGGTTGAGCTGAATTTTGATGATTTTTCCTAACTTGACCTGCCCTGGGTCATTTAGACCCTTATAGAACCTGACTTAGGATATTTTTCTTCTACTTTTAATCACTGTGGTGGTCATTTTGACCCAAGAGTAGCACAAGGGTTTAGCAACAAAGACAAAACATGCTATAAAAACAGGGCAATATACAAATACATTGACAGTATTCTCCCCAACAACACTGGCTCTGTCATGGGTTTCAGACAAAAAAAGGGTTATCCCCACCATCACATATTAATTAACATTTATTAAGATATAATGAAAACATTATAGCTACCAACTGCCTTTTTATAATTTTGTTTGCATGGAATATTGATACGATGGAAAGAACACGCTGAATATAACTTCTATCAATGGAGTCTGCAGTGCATTCACCTTTGGCCTGATTTGATTCCACTGGTACTGGTTCAGTCCTGATCTAATTCAGGTGGCATTCTGGGTTTGGTCCTAGATTGGTTGATTGTCTGCTATGAATGTTTTGAATCATCATATTATCAATATCATATTACCATGAAACAGATGTAGCCCATGAGAAACTTCCATAGAAATTATTAGTTAGTTTTGTATTACTACTAAGTTGTGCCCAGTCTCTACTTCTTACCATTACCACAACAGAATTAAAACTGTATGCTGTCACCTCACTTGAATATTGAATGCATTTTTCTATTGATATCAGTGGAAAATTGCGTCTAGTACAGTATTGTCTCTTTGGACACTACTTTCTTTGCCATGGACACATAAAGACTATGATCTCCATGACAACCGTGTGTGCGTGTGTGCTTCAGTCTCAGGGTCCGCTGGTGTTCTCTGGCTCTGCGGAGGGAGGGGTGTGTGTGTGGGAGAACCGGTGCTCGGAGCGGGACCCCCTGAGGCGCCTGAAGCAATGGAGTGGAGGTCTGACGGGCTGCAGGGCCGAGCCAGGGGGCAGACTGTCCCTCAGCCCCCGCGGAGACACTGTGTACCTGGCATATGGTCAGGCCTGGCTCAGGGTCCTGCACTGGAGAACAGGTGAGGCCTCAAACATATACATCCTAGTTAATAATGTGTTGTGTTGTTTTGTAGTCCAGTCGCAGACTGGGGACATTCCAGGGTTGCAACTCGCATCACAAGAACAGTAGGAATATTGGAACAAGATTTGCTAATTCAGGCCCTCGTGGCATAGTGTTGAGCTCTCGTGTTTAAGCAAGAAGCCCCTTGGTTTTGACTCCCAGGTGACATGAAACCTAGCAGGAACCTTCTGTTGTTCTCCCCATGTCTCATGATGATCATCATCATCATCATCATGTACTAGAACTGGAACACAGGAAAAAAACACATTTTAGCTTGAATCCACACCGCAATCCTCTGGCTTCAAAGGTAATGTAATTAGCCTGGACAACCTGGCCTTGTAAAAGGTGTTCTCATTCAGTGTGTGCGTGGCAGGTTTTCTATAAAAGTGGCAAAAAAACGTAAGCATGAAAGTATTGTATGGTCATATTCATACTGTAGGTATGATAATGATAGGAGAGCGTGACCATTTTAAGTCCAAGTTTCATTGACTTCTACCTGTGTGTTTGAACTTTAACCTCACTGTTATTGCCATGGTATCATTAAAGACTGTACGACTTTTATCATGGGGGAATGTTTAGTGAGAAAGATGCCAGCAACAAACCATGGCCAATTATCTCAACAATTAAACCGCTATTAAAGAATTTTGACCTCCCCTCCAGCTCAATTTGAGTGTTTTTTTTTCACTTTAAGTCACATGTACCCAACAATTTGCATAATGCATGAAGCTAAGTAACATCTGTCCAATTATCCCAGGAGTGATGTCCAAGATGACCAATCACAGCAGCGTCGCCGGGGTAACAGATTGTGTGCACCAGACGGGAGGACTCCTAATTGGCTCCTGCTACGATGTGACGAACGGAGAGAGCACGCTGAACTGTGAGCTGCAGCTAATGTGTGCACTACAAACAAGATCAAAGATAATCAGGAAGGAAAGAATTAAGTGTATTTTATCTTCAGTATAATTTGAATAATTTTGATTTTAATTTCAAAACAAATATTTCCTCATTTCAAGTGGAAGCTTGATTGTTTCCCTTGACATAGTGATACATACGTAATTTTCGTTCCCTTGAAAACGAGATGATTCATCTCAAGGGGCTTATCCTCTAAAAATAAATAATAAACGCTTCTTATTTTTCTGAGTATGAGGCGCACCAGCCGAAAATGCAAAATAAAGAAGGAAAATGTAAGTCGCTCTAGAGTATAAGTCGCATTTTTAGTGGAAATCCATCCATTTTCCATCCATTTTCTTCCGCTTTATCCGTTGCCGGGTCGCGGGGGCAGCAGTCTAAGCAGAGACGCCCAGACTTCCCTATCCACACACACTTCCTCCAGCTCGTCCGGGGGGACCCCAAGGCGTTCCCAGGCCAGCTGAGAGATATAGTCCCTCCAGCGTGTCCTGGGTCTTCCGCGGGGCCTCCTCCCGGTGGGACGTGCCCGGAACACCTCCCCAGGGAGGCGTCCAGGAGGCATCCGGAACAGATGCCCGAGCCACCTCAACTGGTTCCTCTCGACGTGGAGAAGCAGCGGTTCTACTCCGAGCTCCTCCCGTGTGACTGAGCTCCTCACCCTATCTCTAAGGGAGCGCCCAGCCACTCTGCGGAGGAAGCTCATTTCGACCGCTTGTATCCGCGATCTCGTTCTTTCGGTCATTACCCAAAGCTCATGACCATAGATGAGGGAGGGAACGAAGATTGACCGGTAAATCGAGAGCTTTGCCTTTCGGCTCAGCTCCCTCTTCACCACAACGGTCCGATACAGCGACCGCATAACTGCGCACGCTGCACCGATCCGCCTGTCAATCTCACGCTCCATTCTTCCCTCACTCGTGAACAAGACCCCGAGATACTTGAACTCCTCCACTTGAGGAAGGACCTCTCCACCCACCTGCAGAGGGCAAGGCACCTTTTTCCGGTCGAGCACCATGGCCTCGGATTTGGAGGTGCTGATTCTCATCCCAGCCGCTTCACACTCGGCTGCAAACCGTCCCAGTGCATGCTGCAGGTCCTGGTTCGTTGGAGCCAACAGGACAACATCGTCCGCAAACAGCAGAGATGAAATCCTGTGGTCTCCGAACCGGACCCCCTCCGACCCCTGGCTGCGCCTAGATATTCTGTCCATAAATACAGTGAACAGAACCGGTGACAAAGGGCAGCCCTGTCGGAGGCCAACATTCACCGGGAACAGGTCTGACTTACTGCCGGCAATGCGAACACAGCTCTGGCTCTGGTCATACAGGGATCGGATGGCCCTCAGCAGAGGACCCCCGACCCCGTACTCCCGGAGAACCCCCCAAAGGACACCCCGGGGAACACAGTCGAACGCCTTCTCGAAATCCACAAAGCACATGTGGACAGGTTGGGCGAACTCCCATGAACCCTCGAGTATCCGATGGAGAGTATAGAGCTGGTCCAGTGTTCCGCGACCGGGACGAAAACCACACTGCTCCTCCTGGATCCGAGATTCGACCATCGGCCGTAGCCTCCTCTCCAGTACCTTGGAGTAGACCTTACCGGGGAGGCTGAGGAGTGTGATCCCACGATAATTGGAACATACCCTCCGGTCCCCCTTCTTGTAGAGAGGGACCACCACCCCGGTCTGCCACTCCATTGGCACTGCCCCCGATCGCCACGCGATGTTGCAGAGACGTGTCAGCCAAGACAGTCCTACAACATCCAGAGACTTTAGATAATCAGGGCGGATCTCATCCACACCCGGAGCCTTGCCACCATGGAGGCTACCAACCACCTTGGTGACCTCAGCCAGGGAGATGGATGTACCCGCCCCAACATCCTCAGCCTCTGCCTCTGTAACAGAGGACGTGACGGGGGGATTGAGGAGAACCTCAATGTATTCCTTCCACCGCCCGACAATATCCCCAGTCGATGTCAGCAGCTCTCCACCCGCACCGTACATGGTGCTGGCAAAGAACTGCTTCCCCCTCCTGAGGCGCCGGATGGTTTGCCAGAATCTCTTCGAGGCCGACCGATAGTCATGCTCCATGGACTCTCCGAACTCCTCCCAGTCCCGGGTTTTTGCCTCTGCAACAGCCCGGGCCGCGGCACGCTTGGCCTGCCGGTACTGGACAGCTGCCTCAGGAGTCCCCCGAACCATCATGGCTCGATAGGACTCCTTCTTCAGCCTGACAGCATCCCTTACTGCCGGTGTCCACCACGGGGTTCGGGGGTTGCCGCCGGGACCAGCACCAGAGACCTTGCGACCACAGCTACGAGCCGCCGCATCGACGATTGAGGCAGAGAACATGGTCCACTCGGACTCCATGTCCCCCTCCTCCGCCGGGACCTGGGAGAAACTCTCCCGGAGGTGTGAGTTGAAAGTCCGTCTGACAGGGGGCTCAGCGAGACGTTCCCAGCAGACCCTCACTATACGCTTGGGTCTGCCAGGTCTGACCGGCTTCTTCCCCTGCCAGCGGATCCAACTCACGACCAGGTGATGATCGGTTGACAGCTCCGCCCCTCTCTTTACCCGAGTGTCCGAGACACGCGGTCGAAGGTCAGATGATACGACAACAAAGTCGATCATCGACCTCCGGCCTAGGGTGTCCTGGTGCCACGTGCACTGGTGGACACCCTTGTGCTCGAACATGGTGTTCGTGATGGACAAACCGTGACTGGCACAGAAGTCCAACAACTGAGCACCGCTCGGGTTCAGATCAGGGGGGCCGCTCTTCCCGATCACCCCTCGTGTCACTAGCGTTTCCCACATGGGCGTTGAAGTCCCCCAGGAGAATAACGGAGTCCCCGGGCGGTGCACCGTCCAGTACCCCTCCCAAGGACTCCAAGAAGGCCGGGTACTCTACACTGCTGTTAGGCCCGTAGGCCGTCACAACAATGAGAGACTTGTCCCCCACCCGGAGGCGGAGGGACGCGACCCTCTCATTCACCGGGGAGAACTCCAACACGTGGCGGCTGAGATGGGGGGCAATGAGAATGGCCACCCCAGCTCGCCGCCTCTCCCCGCGGGAAACTCCAGAAAAGTGGAGCGTCCAACCCCTCTCAAGGAGTTGGGTTCCAGAGCCCAAGCTGTGTGTGGAGGTGAGGCCGACTATCTCTAGTCGGTATCGCTCAACCTCCCCCACAAGCTCGGGCTCCTTCCTCCCCAGTGAGGTGACGTTCCACGTCCCAAGAGCCAGATGTTGTGTGTGCGGACTGGGTCGCAGAGGTCTCCGCCTTCGACTGCCGCCCAGTCCTCTCAGCACCGCTTCACCACGGACCCCTCTGCAGGTGGTGGGCCCACAGGAGGGACTGCCCACGTCATCCCTTCGGGCTGAGCCCGGCCGGGCCCCGTGGGCTAAGGCCCGACCACCAGGCGCTCGCATACGGGCCCCGACCCCAGGCCTGGCTCCAGGGTGGGGCCCCGGCTGCGCCATGCCGGGCGACGTCACTGTTTTCATATTAGTGTTGTCCATGGTGTCTTCTGGACTGCTCTTTGTCTGACTCGTCACCTGAGACCTGTCTGCCATGGGAGGCCCTACCAGGGGCATGAAGCCCCAGACAGCATAGCTCCCAGGATCATCCGAGTACTCAAACTCCCCCACCACGTTAAGGTGGCAGTCCAGGGGGGGAGCCCTCTTGTTTATCAGCAATAAAAAGCGAGAGTGTTAACAGGGTTCAAATCCAGGTGGAAACAGTGCCTTTCTGAGTGAGGTTTGTATATTTCCCCGTCACCAACGTCAACTCCTTCAGCTCCGGTCCTGATCAACCCGAGCATCAACATCTGGAGACGGGTCCCCGGGCCCCGTACATGGGCGACCCCTGCTCCTGACAGAGGCCTTAGCAGTATTCAGGATGGATGGGTCAAATGCGGAGGACAATAAATTATGCCTTAAACCCAAACCTTAACCTTGATGACGTAACAACTTTTAGAGAGTCTGATCTCAAGTACACCTTTTTCTTCCTAAAAATATGTATAAACTCCACTTATCCCTTTTAATAGAAACAGCCTGAAGCCATTTCCTAGTTATTGCTTTTCTGGGACATTTGATCTGATATCACATATTTTCACCCATCACGACTCCGAGTTGCAATGATTCAAGTTGAAATTCTGCGGCTGTACTGAATACTACCTTAAATATTTATGGATATGGGTTCAAAACAAACAATATGATTTTATACAGTCAATAATTTGGGCCGCAATCTTTCAAATTAGTGGATGAATTGTAAAAATGGTGCGATGGCTAACGGCTAAACAAGCTATCAGCGATAAAAGCTAACTCTCCAAGGTATTGCGTCTCCTGTAGCACATCCGGTTATAGCATGCTAACTTTAACAAGCGCTTCTCCTTTGTTCCCCGTTTGCAAAGCCGTTTTATATTTCCTCCAGTCTAAATGAAACTTTTGGACAGAGACAAAATGACCACGACTCTGGAATCCTAAGTCGAAAAATGCAGCGGCTCCGACTCAAAACAGAATTGGAAAGACTAATGAAGAGAGCGGAGGGTTGGGAGGTGGCTGAACTTTAGTCAAATGGAGACTGATGGCGGCTGCCGGCGATCGCAAATGGAAAAGGAAAATGGCGTTGGAGAAACTAATGATCAGAGAGAGGTTTTTGGAGAAAGACAGAGAGATTTCAGTCGTGCTGCGATCGAACGATGGAAGCAATGAATCAGTGCTATTCAGATTATGTTAAGAATGTTGTGTTTTGTGATGAGGACGAGAGAGAGCGACCACCGCGACTAAACTTTGAGGAAGACTTTGATTCATTTGGATAAGCCCATAGCAAAGACACAGTACTTAGAGTATTTGTTAGTGTGGTGCCCAGAGGTGGGAGATTTCTCACATTTGGCTTCTCCTCTCTCCTTTTAGGCATTTTGGTGTTGTGTTTTCTTGCTATGTCTTTTATCTTTTTCAAACTGGCATCATTTCCGTGTTGGTTACTTGTTTTGAAGTGAAATCAATTAAACGTAAGAACTAAAATCTATCTATTCACAGACCAGAGCAGAATTCATGCATCGTGGAAGTTTGTGTTTGGTTTCTGTTGCACTGGATCTACAATGGTTTATTGTCAAATGTATTTTGAGTGGATCAAAGGCAGAAGTTTTTTTATATAGCACAGTTTAAGCACAAAGCAACTCCCAGTTCTTCACAAAAACAATATTAAAATCACAAGGAGTTCCAATCAGGGGCAACAAAAATAACAACAAACTAAATAAAGATTACTTACTTACTTACTTACTTAACAGTGGCCCGGTTGGTAGAGAAGTTGTGGGTTCGAGCCCACCATGAGAGTTACTTCACAGACTCCCACTGATGTCTGCTGTTGATGTGTCCTTAGGCAAGACACTTAACCCCACTTTGCCTGAAGCCCCCACTGAAAGATCAAGGCTGTGCTGTCACTGACACAGCAGCTGTTCTTCTGTGGACTCAGCACCTGCAGCAGGATCAGTGAGAGGCTGGTGCTCTGGGGATTTGGTGCGACTCCGACTGCCTCTGCACCCCGGACCCAGAAATGGATGAAGGGGAAGAAAATGGATGTATGTAATTAAAACCATAAATAATCACTGTACGTCATAAAAGGTTGAATACAATCCTTCAGTTGTAGCACAGATAAACAGAGCAGTTTAATTAAAACAAGGATTTAAAGACTGTCAGAGAAGAAGCCTGTCTAAATACACAACAGCGATACACATGGGGGCGGGGCAGGTAATCAGGAAACAGGAAGTAAGACACAGGGGTAAACAAAATAAAGCAGGAAATAAACCATGACAAATCACTCAAATTGTGTTGAGGGATTATTTACAGTCTGGAGATTACCCGTCCAGTTTCAACAACATACTTCAACTTTACCCATTTTAATATTATTTGTATTTATATTATGTTGACAAAACACACATTATACATAACAATACACTTTACCAAGGACAGTATTATACAATATTTTACAAAATTAAATGGAATTTAACTTGCTGACATCACCTTTCTTATAATATATATGGAAATGCAACGGTAAATAAATCCAAACTTGAACATGGATATATGCTAATGTTGGCCCCTGGAGTTAAACCTGGGCTAATGATCCCAGCGGTGACACGGAGGTATAAGAGCGCCTGGTTTTAGCAGAGGCTGAAACGGCGTTAGCTTTAAGTGCTAACAGGAGTTCATTCATTCTAACAGCTGTCATTATCAAGCACCTGAGAAGAGCCGAGGTAGGCGGACAAACCAGGACCATGTGCAGCCAAGGGCGGACAAACCAGGACCATGTGCAGCCAAGGATAGACAAACCAGGACCATGTGCAGCCAAGGATAGACAAACCAGGACCATGTGCAGCCAAGGGCGGACAAACCAGGACCATGTGCGGTCAAGGACAGACAAACCAGGACCATGTGCAGCCAAGGATAGACAAACCAGGACCATGTGCAGCCAAGGATAGACAAACCAGGACCATGTGCAGCCAATAGGGCCATCCACCTTCCAATAACAATGACAATGACTTTAACTGATAAATCACCGAAGGCAGCGCTAAGCTCATTGTTGTAGAATTACTGCACATAACAAGAGTAAAATAATGTAAACAACCCAGAGCTGCAATTCCAAACAAAGTGTGAGTTTATTCATTAGTAAATGTGCACAATTACAATGAATAACAGAACCGATACCAATACCACCGGGCAGCCGTCCGAAATCGACTGCCCCGATTGAGGAAATGACTGTACATTAAATAGACCAGAGTAAACAAACACATATCTACTCTAGATATTACATAAATGAAGTCAACATTGATACGTGTTGCTCAAGGCTTCTCTTTACGCGTCCTAACGCTGATACAACTCTGATATATGTAACAATCTGCTTTTGAACTGAACATATTGTTCTATGACCCAGGTCAAAGACATGATGCAGCACGTCTCCATCTATCACTGACCTGAGCCAACAGAGCATTATGGCCTGTATCTGAATCCAGAGTTGACTATTAGTTAATAACTTACACTCATAACTATTAGGTGTTAATTCAGATTGCTTTACTAAAATATTTCTATAACACTCATAGTATAAGTACGGTTTGGCTCATGCTGTATGTGGAGCGGAGCAGTTTAATATAATGTCGGCCACAGAAACTCATTGGGAGAGTATTGGTTAGTGCATGTTAGTACATCAATACTCTACCATGATTGGGAGCCTTTCCTGTTTTTTTTTTACCAGGTCTTTTTTTGGCTTGCTCCTGGTTCTAACTGCAGCGAGTTGGTTCCAGCTGCACCAGCCTGGGCAGCACGCGCAGTGGTTAGTGCTTCACAGAAAGAAGGCCCCGGGTGCAATTCCACCTCCAGGCCTTTCTGTGTGGAGTTTGCATGTTCTCCCCGTGTATCTTTCCCGTATGGCATGTGCCTCCTGTAGGCGACCTCGCTCCCATCTCTGTGTGGAGTGAGACACAAATACCCACAACAGTGAAAGGCGCTATACAAATAATGATTACTTACTTACTTGCTTAGTTCTAACTGTTTGCGACTGGTATCCATGGTTACCGAGAAAATTCCACAGATATAAAACAAGTCGCACTAGAGTATGAGTTGCATTTTTATAGCTTTGTCGCTCAACTTAAAATTATTAGATTTTTAACAGTATTTAACATGTAGCAGCTCCAGAGTATACATATATATTTGCAATAACACGGTACACTCTCCACCAATCACTTCTCACAGGAACCACACTCGGGCCAATGAGGTGAGTGCTCTGTTGTGAATCAGGACACGTCTTTTTCCACTTCACTAATATTGAGTTATCGTCCAAAATGCACTTTCTCCCCATTTTTCCAGCCCACAGAAATCCAATTGGACTGACCTTGCAACGAAAGGTTCCTGTCCACAGTGACACTCTTAAAGCAGGAGGCCTGATAGAGAGTGACGTGTGTATGAAACGTTTTGTGAAAGAATCGAGCTGTCTTCATCTAATAATAAACACAAAATAACATTATCTCTTTTACATACTGAGAGCTGATTGGCTGAGTGAGATCTGGGACTCACTTTTTCATTGATAAAGCTGATTTAAAGAAGTGACAGAGGCCAAAAACACATTCACCAAACTGTTTTGAGAGCTGGGAACGAGGTACGTGGATTTGTACTATATTGTTAATTGTTTGTGATTTAAAAGTTAGGAACCTGAGCTTTAATAGACAGCAATAATGATGGATATTCACTTTAACACAAAATATTCTCCACTGCATTCATTTCAATAGACTCGAGTGAATTCCATGTGTCCAATACAATCTTTGTGGTCACTGTTTTCAGTTCACGTGTTTATTGATGAGTTCTGTTGCTTTGTGACTTTGTAAAATGAACTGCTGTGGCTCACACCTGGTGTCGTGTGACATCACAGTTTAGGTATTTGGGGTTATTGTGTCATACCTCATCTGCATCCATCGTTGGCATTGTGTGCAAATATGATGCCTCTGGACCAGTGGGGGGCGCCGACATGCAATCTGACTGCTTGCTGGTGACGAAGGACAAAGCTGCTGTTTTCAACACTTTTCAACACGCTTTTACGGACAAACAGGGCGACATTCAAAATCTACAAATGTTCAATAACTCAAACTTTGCTCTGATTTCAGCCTGAGTTTCAGACGTCCACATCCGGTCACGTAGGAGGTTCTTGTTGAATACTCACCCTTCTGAGATGAGAGGAGAAATCCAGCCGGGGCCCTGTCATAGAGCCACTTTTCCATTCCCTTAGTGATAATACAAAGAATATACAGCAGGAGTTAGTCTAATCAGGAACATTCAGTTCTTGTTGCATGGATCAAGATCAATCGCCCACGACCGCTGACTCTGAAACCTGTTAGAAACATGCTATGCCTAATGGCACAGGGACTGGACTCCTGCTGGGACTCTGAGGAGCACAGGGACTGGCCTCCTGCTGGGACTCTGAGGAGCACAGGGACTGGCCTCCTGCTGGGACTCTGATGAGCACAGGGACTGGCCTCCTGGGTTTTAATAGAAAACCTCTTACTATCAATATTTGCACTTAAAACTTAAAACTATTCCAGGAAACCCCTGCACTTCCTTTGCGTATCACCGGTGGTCCGCATACCCCCTGTTGGGAAACACTGCATCAGACCACACACACCTGTCTTATGAAGAGAGCAATGTCTTTTGTCGGATGCGTTTACCCCTGGAGTGGATCACATTTGAGTGGTAGTTGTGTGTCTTTGCTCGGAGGGTCCCAGTCCATCAGTCTGAGGGAGAAGTATGTGTTTCTGTCCGATACTGAAAACTGCAATATCACCGGGATCTTAAATCTTCACCGGGTTCTGCCGACACCTGCTTTTATTACACTAAACTTCAGCTGTAAATCCACATCAGTCACACGCTGCTCGGTCACTAGGTGAGAGTTGGACATTTCATATACTTGTCCTTGTCCAAAAAGTCACACCATAAAAAGCATAGAGTATTTCAAAGAGGCAAAGGCGTTACACGGGGGTACTTCAAAGGTACTGTGAATATTGATAGTAAGAGGTTCATATCGGGAATGGTTACACATGATTTTAAAGCTTAGTCTATTCACTCCTGGTCACCTAATATAAATAAAGCTTACTTACTTACCTAGATTCAAGATTTGGTTTGACATTTGCAGTAAAACCACATTGGAAAAACTGTGCAAGACTACCTCAGTGTACACCAGGATTGTACACACCGGTGCTCCTGCCATGGCGTTATTCTTCCGGCGAAAAATGACGCCATGGGAGGAATGACGGCATGGGAGGAATGACGGCACGGGAGGAATGACGGCACGGGAGGAATGACGCCATGGGAGGAATGACGGCACGGGAGGAATGACGGCACGGGAGGAATGACGGCACGGGAGGAATGACGGCACGGGAGAAATGACGCCATGGGAGAAATGACGGCATGGGAGGAATGACGCCATGGGAGGAATGACGGCACGGGAGGAATGACGGCACGGGAGAAATGACGGCATGGGAGGAATGACGCCATGGGAGGAATGACGGCACGGGAGGAATGACGGCACGGGAGAAATGACGCCATGGGAGAAATGACGGCATGGGAGGAATGACGCCATGGGAGGAATGACGGCACGGGAGGAATGACGGCACGGGAGGAATGACGGCACGGGAGAAATGACGCCATGGGAGAAATGACGGCATGGGAGGACTGACGGCACGGGAGGAATGACGGCACGGGAGGAATGACGGCACGGGAGGAATGACGCCATGGGAGAAATGACGGCATGGGAGGAATGACGCCATGGGAGGAATGACGGCACGGGAGGAATGACGGCACGGGAGAAATGACGCCATGGGAGAAATGACGGCATGGGAGGAATGACGCCATGGGAGAAATGACGGCATGGGAGGAATGACGGCACGGGAGGAATGACGGCACGGGAGGAATGACGGCACGGGAGGAATGACGGCACGGGAGAAATGACGGCACGGGAGGAATGACGGCACGGGAGGAATGACGCCATGGGAGAAATGACGGCATGGGAGGAATGACGGCACGGGAGGAATGACGGCACGGGAGGAATGACGGCACGGGAGGAATGACGGCACGGGAGGAATGACGGCACGGGAGGAATGACGGCACGGGAGGAATGACGGCACGGGGAGGAATGACGGCACGGGAGAAATGACGCCGGCACGGGAGGAATGACGGCACGGGAGGAATGACGGCACGGGAGGAATGACGGCACGGGAGGAATGACGGCACGGGAGGAATGACGGCACGGGAGGAAATGACGGCACGGGAGGAATGACGCCAGGGGAGAAATGACGCCACGGGAGAAATGACGCCACGGGAGAAATGGGAGGAATGACACCATGGGAGGAATGACGCCATGGGAGGAATGACGCCATGGGAGGAATGACGGCACGGGAGGAATGACGGCACGGGAGGAATGACGGCACGGGAGGAATGACGGCACGGGAGGAATGACGGCACGGGAGGAATGACGGCACGGGAGAAATGACGGCACGGGAGGAATGACGGCACGGGAGGAATGACGGCACGGGAGAAATGACGCCATGGGAGGAATGACGCCATGGGAGGAATGACGCCATGGGAGGAATGACGCCATGGGAGGAATGACGGCATGGGAGGAATGACACCATGGGAGGAATGACGGCACGGGAGGAATGACACCATGGGAGGAATGACGGCACGGGAGAAATGACGGCATGGGAGGAATGACGCCATGGAAAAAATGACTGCATGGAAAAAAATGTCGCCATGGGATGAATGACGGCATGGGAGGAATGACACCATGGGAGGAATGTCGCCATGGGAGGAATGACACCATGGGAGGAATGACACCATGGGAGGAATGACGCCATGGGAGAAATGACGCCATGGGATGAATGACGGCATGGGAGAAATGACGGCACGGGAGGAATGACGGCACGGGAGGAATGACGGCACGGGAGGAATGACGGCACGGGAGGAATGACGGCACGGGAGGAATGACGGCACGGGAGGAATGACGGCACGGGAGGAATGACACCATGGGAGGAATGACGGCACGGGAGAAATGACGGCATGGGAGGAATGACACCATGGAAAAAATGACTGCATGGAAAAAAATGTCGCCATGGGAGGAATGACGGCATGGGAGGAATGTCCCCATGGGAGGAATGACACCATGGGAGGAATGACGGCACGGGAGGAATGACACCATGGGAGGAATGACGGCACGGGAGAAATGACGGCATGGGAGGAATGACGCCATGGAAAAAATGACTGCATGGAAAAAAATGTCGCCATGGGATGAATGACGGCATGGGAGGAATGACGCCATGGGATGAATGTCGCCATGGGAGGAATGACACCATGGGAGGAATGACGCCATGGGAGGAATGACGCCATGGGATGAATGACGGCATGGGAGAAATGACGGCACGGGAGGAATGACGGCACGGGAGGAATGACGGCACGGGAGGAATGACGGCACGGGAGGAATGACGGCACGGGAGGAATGACGGCACGGGAGGAATGACGGCACGGGAGGAATGACGGCACGGGAGGAATGACGGCACGGGAGGAATGACGGCACGGGAGGAATGACGCCACGGGAGGAATGACGGCACGGGAGGAATGACGTCAGGGGAGGAATGACGGCATGGGAGAAATGACGGCATGGGAGAAATGACGCCATGGGAGGAATGACGCCATGGGAGGAATGACGGCACGGGAGGAATGACGGCACGGGAGGAATGACGGCACGGGAGGAATGACGGCACGGGAGAAATGACGCCATGGAAAAAAATGTCGCCATGGGATGATTGACGGCATGGGAGGAATGACGCCATGGGAGGAATGACACCATGGGAGGAATGACGGCACGGGAGGAATGACGCCATGGGAGGAATGACGGCATGGGAGGAATGACGGCATGGGAGGAATGACGGCACGGGAGGAATGACGGCACGGGAGGAATGACGGCACGGGAGGAATGACGCCATGGGAGAAATGACGGCACGGGAGGAATGACGGCATGGGAGAAATGACGCCATGGAAAAAAATGTCGCCATGGGATGAATGACGGCATGGGAGGAATGACGCCATGGGAGGAATGACGGCATGGGAGGAATGACGCCATGGGAGGAATGACGGCACGGGAGGAATGACGGCACGGGAGGAATGACGGCACGGGAGGAATGACGGCACGGGAGGAATGACGGCACGGGAGGAATGACGGCACGGGAGGAATGACGGCACGGGAGGAATGACGCCATGGGAGTAATGACGGCACGGGAGGAATGACGGCATGGGAGAAATGACGCCATGGAAAAAAATGTCGCCATGGGATGAATGACGGCATGGGAGGAATGACGCCATGGGAGGAATGACGGCATGGGAGGAATGACGCCATGGGAGGAATGACGGCATGGGAGGAATGGACGGCATGGGAGGAATGACGGCACGGGAGGAATGACGGCACGGGAGGAATGACGGCACGGGAGGAATGACGGCACGGGAGTAATGACGGCACGGGAGGAATGACGGCATGGGAGAAATGACGCCATGGAAAAAAATGTCGCCATGGGATGAATGACGGCATGGGAGGAATGACGCCATGGGAGGAATGACGGCATGGGAGGAATGACGGCATGGGAGGAATGACGGCATGGGAGAAATGACGCCATGGGAGGAATGACGCCATGGGAGGAATGACGGCACGGGAGGAATGACGGCACGGGAGGAATGACGGCACGGGAGGAATGACGGCACGGGAGGAATGACGGCACGGGAGGAATGACGGCACGGGAGGAATGACGGCACGGGAGGAATGACGGCACGGGAGGAATGACGCCATGGGAGTAATGAGACGGCACGGGAGGAATGACGGCATGGGAGAAATGACGCCATGGAAAAAAATGTCGCCATGGGATGAATGACGGCATGGGAGGAATGACGCCATGGGAGGAATGACGGCATGGGAGGAATGACGCCATGGGAGGAATGACGGCATGGGAGGAATGACGGCATGGGAGGAATGACGGCACGGGAGGAATGACGCCACGGGAGGAATGACGGCACGGGAGGAATGACGGCACGGGAGGAATGACGGCACGGGAGGAATGACGCCATGGGAGAAATGACGCCATGGGAGGAATGACGGCATGGGAGGAATGACGCCATGGGAGGAATGACGGCACGGGAGGAATGACGGCACGGGAGGAATGACGGCACGGGAGAAATGACGGCACGGGAGGAATGACGGCATGGGAGGAATGACGCCATGGGAGGAATGACACCATGGGAGGAATGACGGCATGGGAGGAATGACGGCATGGGAGGAATGACGGCACGGGAGGAATGACGCCATGGGAGGAATGTCGGCATGGGAGGAATGACGGCACGGGAGGAATGACGCCATGGAAAAAATGACTGCATGGAAAAAAATGTCGCCATGGGATGAATGACGGCATGGGAGGAATGTCCCCATGGGAGGAATGACGGCATGGGAGGAATGACGGCACGGGAGAAATGACGCCATGGGAGGAATGTCCCCATGGGAGGAATGACGGCATGGGAGGAATGACGGCACGGGAGGAATGACGCCATGGAAAAAATGACGGCACGGGAGAAATGACGCCATGGAAAAAAATGTCGCCATGGGATGATTGACGGCATGGGAGGAATGACGCCATGGGAGGAATGACACCATGGGAGGAATGACGGCATGGGAGGAATGACGCCATGGGAGGAATGACGGCATGGGAGGAATGACGGCATGGGAGGAATGACGGCACGGGAGGAATGACGGCACGGGAGGAATGACGGCACGGGAGGAATGACGCCATGGGAGAAATGACGGCACGGGAGGAATGACGGCATGGGAGAAATGACGCCATGGAAAAAAATGTCGCCATGGGATGAATGACGGCATGGGAGGAATGACGCCATGGGAGGAATGACGGCATGGGAGGAATGACGCCATGGGAGGAATGACGGCACGGGAGGAATGACGGCACGGGAGGAATGACGGCACGGGAGGAATGACGGCACGGGAGGAATGACGGCACGGGAGGAATGACGGCATGGGAGAAATGACGCCATGGAAAAAAATGTCGCCATGGGATGAATGACGGCATGGGAGGAATGACGCCATGGGAGGAATGACGGCATGGGAGGAATGACGCCATGGGAGGAATGACGGCACGGGAGGAATGACGGCACGGGAGGAATGACGGCACGGGAGGAATGACGGCACGGGAGGAATGACGGCACGGGAGGAATGACGCCATGGGAGTAATGACGGCACGGGAGGAATGACGGCATGGGAGAAATGACGCCATGGAAAAAAATGTCGCCATGGGATGAATGACGGCATGGGAGGAATGACGCCATGGGAGGAATGACGGCATGGGAGGAATGACGCCATGGGAGGAATGACGGCATGGGAGGAATGACGGCATGGGAGGAATGACGGCACGGGAGGAATGACGGCACGGAGGAATGACGGCACGGGAGGAATGACGGCACGGGAGGAATGACGCCATGGGAGAAATGACACCATGGGAGGAATGACGGCATGGGAGGAATGACGCCATGGGAGGAATGACGGCACGGGAGGAATGACGGCACGGGAGGAATGACGGCACGGGAGAAATGACGCCATGGGAGAAATGACACCATGGGAGGAATGACGGCATGGGAGGAATGACGCCATGGGAGGAATGACGGCACGGGAGGAATGACGGCACGGGAGGAATGACGGCACGGGAGAAATGACGCCATGGGAGGAATGACGGCATGGGAGGAATGACGCCATGGGAGGAATGACACCATGGGAGGAATGACGGCATGGGAGGAATGACGCCATGGGAGGAATGACGGCACGGGAGGAATGACGCCATGGGAGGAATGTCGGCATGGGAGGAATGTCCCCATGGGAGGAATGACGGCATGGGAGGAATGTCCCCATGGGAGGAATGACGGCATGGGAGGAATGACGGCACGGGAGGAATGACGCCATGGAAAAAATGACTGCATGGAAAAAAATGTCGCCATGGGATGAATGACGGCATGGGAGGAATGTCCCCATGGGAGGAATGACGGCATGGGAGGAATGACGGCACGGGAGAAATGACGCCATGGGAGGAATGTCCCCATGGGAGGAATGACGGCATGGGAGGAATGACGGCACGGGAGGAATGACGCCATGGAAAAAATGACTGCATGGAAAAAAATGTCGCCATGGGATGAATGACGGCACGGGAGGAATGACGGCACGGGAGAAATGACGCCATGGGAGGAATGACGGCACGGGAGGAATGACGGCACGGGAGGAATGACGGCACGGGAGGAATGACGCCACGGGAGAAATGACGCCATGGGAGGAATGACGGCATGGGAGGAATGACGGCATGGGAGGAATGACGGCACGGGAGGAATGACGCCATGGGAGGAATGACGGCACGGGAGGAATGACGGCACGGGAGGAATGACGGCATGGGAGGAATGACGGCATGGGAGGAATGACGCCATGGGAGGAATGACGCCATGGGAGGAATGACGGCACGGGAGGAATGACGCCATGGGAGGAATGACGGCACGGGAGAAATGACGGCATGGGATGAATGACGGCATGGGAGGAATGTCCCCATGGGAGGAATGACACCATGGGAGGAATGACGCCATGGGAGGAATGACGCCATGGGAGGAATGACGGCACGGGAGAAATGACGGCACGGGAGGAATGACGGCACGGGAGGAATGACGGCACGGGAGGAATGACGGCACGGGAGGAATGACGGCACGGGAGGAATGACGCCACGGGAGGAATGACGGCACGGGAGGAATGACGCCATGGGAGGAATGACGCCATGGGAGGAATGACGGCATGGGAGGAATGACGCCATGGGAGGAATGACGGCACGGGAGGAATGACGGCACGGGAGGAATGACGGCACGGGAGGAATGACGGCACGGGAGGAATGACGGCACGGGAGGAATGACGGCACGGGAGGAATGACGGCACGGGAGGAATGACGGCACGGGAGGAATGACGGCACGGGAGGAATGACGCCATGGAAAAAAATGTCGCCATGGGATGAATGACGGCATGGGAGGAATGACGCCATGGGAGGAATGACGGCACGGGAGGAATGACGGCATGGGAGGAATGACGGCACGGGAGGAATGACGGCATGGGAGGAATGACGGCATGGGAGGAATGACGGCACGGGAGAAATGACGGCATGGGAGAAATGACGGCACGGGAGGAATGACGGCACGGGAGGAATGACGGCACGGGAGGAATGACGGCACGGGAGGAATGACGCCATGGAAAAAAATGTCGCCATGGGATGAATGACGGCATGGGAGGAATGACGCCATGGGAGGAATGACACCATGGGAGGAATGACGGCATGGGAGGAATGACGCCATGGGAGGAATGACGGCATGGGAGGAATGACGGCATGGGAGGAATGACGGCACGGGAGAAATGACGGCATGGGAGAAATGACGCCATGGAAAAAAATTTCGCCATGGGAGGAATGACGCCATGGGAGGAATGACACCATGGGAGGAATGACGGCATGGGAGGAATGACGCCATGGGAGGAATGACGGCATGGGAGGAATGATATATTTTTCAAGATGGCGCCTCGTACGGTCGACATGGCTCTTTGCTGCTCTCTTTTTCTTTTGTTTTTACTTTTTAACTGTGCATCTGGCTGTTCCTACACCCGTGAGGAACTTATGAACATCCGACCCACCGTTCCCATGGACCTATTGCCTGTTTTCTTGGCATCTGCGGCTGATTTAGTTCATGTTCTAGCCAAAAAAGTGTGGGCCCGTAAAAGGGGAAAGCGAGGAGGCCTGCTCGTGCGTCTTAGGAGGAGAGGAGCGCGCACGGCTCTCCCCGGCATTTTTCTCTCCAACGTACGCTCACTGGGCAATAAGATGGACGAACTCAGCCTGCTCATGAGAAGAAACAAGGACTTCGCCACATCCTGTGTCCTCTGCTTCACTGAGACCTGGCTAAATGAGCGGATCCCGGACTGCGCTCTGGAGCTGCAGGGCTTTGGGCTGTTTCGCGCGGATCGCCATTGTGCGCTCTCAGGGAAGAGCAGAGGCGGAGGGCTCTGTTTCTACGTCAATACAAACTGGTGTAACGATGTGACAGTGATCTCCAAGCACTGCTCTCCTGCTCTGGAATATCTTTTCATTCATTGTAAACCATATTACTCCCCGCGGGAAATTGTTTCATTCATTCTTGCCTCTGTTTACATACCGCCATGCGCGGACGCGCGCGGGGCTCAGCGCGCACTCGCAGAGCAAGTACTGTGTATGGAACGCTTATACCCGGACTCTCTGATTATTATCCTGGGGGATTTTAATAAGGGAAACTTGAGCCAGGAATTACCCAAATACAGACAGTTTATCAAATGCCCGACCAGAGAGGAGAACACTCTGGATCACTGTTACACCACCGTGCGCGGAGCTTTTCGCGCTGTTCCCAAGCCAGCCCTCGGCTTCTCAGATCACTCCATGATACATCTGGTTCCTGCTTACAGACAGAGACTAAAGCTCTCGAAACCTGCAGTGAGGAGCTCCAAAGTGTGGTCTGATGAAGCTGTGGAAGAGCTGCGCGCATGCATGGAATCTACAGACTGGGACCTTTTCAGAGCTGCCACAGATAGTTTGGATGAATATACGGACACTGTGACGTCATACATCCACTTCTGTGAGGATAGCATCATTCCAACAAGGACCAGGGTCATCTATAACAACGACAAACCCTGGTTCACTGCTAAACTCCGGCAGCTCAGGAAAGCAAAGGAGTCTGCTTTCAGGGAGGGGGACCGCAGCGGCTACAAAGCAGCTAAATATCAGTTCAGGAAAGAACTGAAAGCAGCCAAGTCCCGGCACAGAGAACGACTACAGGAGCAGTTTGGTAACAACGATACTGCTTCTGTCTGGAGGGGCCTACGGGAGATCACCAACTACAAACCCAAAGCCCCCCCCTGTGCTGACGACCACAAGCTAGCTGACGATCTGAACTTATTTTTCAGTCGCTTTGATGCTGCCCCTGACACCTCTCCCTCCCCCACCCCCCACTACTCTAACGACCCACCCATCAGCCCTGCCCCCAGCCTAACAATAGCCGCTAAAGAGATTAAACAACTCTTCCTGAGGCTGCACCCCCGCAAAGCTCCTGGCCCGGACCACGTGTCTCCGGCCACTCTGAGACACTGCGCCAGTGAGCTTACTCCTGTGTTCACGGACATTTTCAACACCTCTCTACAGTCCTGCCATGTCCCGGCCTGCTTCAAATCCTCCATCATTGTCCCCGTCCCGAAGAAGCCCAGGATCACAGGACTCAATGACTACAGACCTGTAGCACTTACGTCTGTCGTCATGAAGTCATTTGAACGCCTGGTTCTCTCCCATCTCAAGTCCCTCACCTCCCCCCTCCTGGACCCCCTGCAGTTCGCCTACAGAGCCAACAGATCTGTAGACGACGCCATTAACCTGGCCCTCCACCACATCCTACAGCACCTGGACTCCCCGGGGACCTACGCCAGGGTCCTGTTCGTGGACTTCAGCTCTGCCTTCAACACAATCCTGCCATCCCTGCTCCAGGACAAGCTCTCCCAGCTCAACGTGCCCGATTCCACCTGCAGGTGGATCACTGACTTCCTGACGGACAGGAAGCAGCGAGTGCGTCTGGGGAAGAATGTCTCGGACTCTCGGATTATAAATACAGGAGCCCCACAGGGCTGTGTTCTTTCTCCCCTGCTCTTCTCCCTGTACACCAACCACTGCACCTCCAGCCACGACTCCGTGAAGCTGATCAAGTTCGCGGACGACACCACCCTCATTGGACTCATCTCCAACAACGATGAGTCCGCCTACAGGAGGGAGGTGGACCGGCTGGTGTCCTGGTGCAGTGGTAACAACCTGGAGCTGAACGCCCAGAAGACAGTGGAGATGATTGTGGACTTCAGGAAGAGCACTGTCCCCCCGCCCCCACCCTCCGTGATGGACTCCCCCATCACCTCTGTGGAGTCCTTCCGTTTCCTGGGCACCACCATCACCCAGGACCTCAAGTGGGAGCCGACCATCAGCTCCCTCATCAAGAAGGCCCAGCAGAGGATGTACTTCCTGCGGCAGCTCAGGAAAGCCAAGCTGCCTGCACAGATGTTGGTGCAGTTCTACACGGCCATCATCGAGTCCATCCTCACCTCCTCCATCACCGTGTGGTTCGCTGGAGCCACAGTCAGGGACAAACAGAGACTACAGCGCATTGTGCGCTCTGCAGAGGAAGTGATCGGCCGCAGCCTTCCATCGCTGCAGGACCTGTACGTCGCCCGAGCTCGAGGCCGGGCTGGTCGTATCACAGCCGACCCCTCTCACCCTGCACATGGACTATTCCAACCACTCCCCTCAGGCAGGAGGCAGGTCCATCAGGACTAGAACCTCCCGCCACAAGAACAGTTTCTTCCCCTCTGCTGTTGGACTCTTGAACACTTCTTAACCTGTCCCCCCGCCCTTTATAAAGTCACTTTACTGCCCATCATACGTCACTTTACTTCACTGTACTGCTGTCACCTTACATTGTGTGCACCATGTGCACTTGTATATTGTAAATAGTAACTGTAACTCTATTTTAAATTTAAATTTATTCTTTAGAAGTGTTTTTTATTCTTATTTTTATTATCTCTTTTTGACTGTTGCACTGAGCCAAAGCAATTTCCAAGTCTGTGACCTCCCGTTACTTACGTTGGCAATAAAAATGATTCTGATTCTGATGATTCTGATTCTGATGACGGCATGGGAGGAATGACGGCACGGGAGAAATGACGGCATGGAAAAAAATTTCGCCATGGGATGAATGACGGCATGGGAGGAATGACGCCATGGGAGGAATGACACCATGGGAGGAATGACACCATGGGAGGAATGACGCCATGGGAGGAATGACGCCATGGGAGGAATGACACCATGGGAGGAATGACGGCACGGGAGGAATGACGGCACGGGAGGAATGACGGCACGGGAGGAATGACGCCATGGGAGAAATGACGGCAGGGGAGGAATGACGGCATGGGAGAAATGACGCCATGGAAAAAAATGTCGCCATGGGAGGAATGACGCCATGGGAGAAATGACGCCATGGGAGGAATGACGGCATGGGAGGAATGACGCCATGGGAGGAATGACGGCACGGGAGGAATGACGGCACGGGAGGAATGACGGCACGGGAGGAATGACGGCACGGGAGGAATGACGGCACGGGAGGAATGACTGCACGGGAGGAATGACGGCATGGGAGAAATGACGCCATGGAAAAAAATGTCGCCATGGGATGAATGACGGCACGGGAGGAATGACGCCATGGAAAAAAATGTCGCCATGGGATGAATGACGGCACGGGAGGAATGACGCATGGGAGGAATGACCATGGGAGGAATGACGGCACGGGAGGAATGACGGCACGGGAGGAATGACGGCACGGGAGGAATGACGGCACGGGAGGAATGACTGCACGGGAGGAATGACTGCACGGGAGGAATGACGGCATGGGAGAAATGACGCCATGGAAAAAAATGTCGCCATGGGATGAATGACGGCACGGGAGGAATGACGCCATGGGAGAAATGACGCCATGGGAGGAATGACGGCATGGGAGGAATGACGCCATGGGAGGAATGACGGCACGGGAGGAATGACGGCACGGGAGGAATGACGGCACGGGAGGAATGACGCCATGGAAAAAAATGTCGCCATGGGATGAATGACGGCACGGGAGGAATGACGCCATGGGAGAAATGACGCCATGGGAGGAATGACGGCATGGGAGGAATGACGCCATGGGAGGAATGACGGCACGGGAGGAATGACGGCACGGGAGGAATGACGGCACGGGAGGAATGACGCCATGGGAGGAATGACGGCACGGGAGGAATGACGGCACGGGAGGAATGACGCCATGGGAGGAATGACGGCACGGGAGGAATGACGCCATGGGAGGAATGACGGCACGGGAGGAATGACGGCACGGGAGGAATGACGGCATGGGAGGAATGACACCATGGGAGGAATGACACCATGGGAGGAATGACGCCATGGGAGGAATGACGCCATGGGAGGAATGACACCATGGGGGGAATGACGCCATGGGAGGAATGACGCCATGGTAGGAATGACGCCATGGGA